AGTGCCTTACTAGTAGTAACAGGTGCCTTACTAGTAGTAACAAGAAGTCTTAGATCGATCAATGTCAGCAAATTCATCATCGCCGTGCCTCATACCGTCTCTCTTCCAGTAGAACCTTGTCCTGGCGAAAAGTCGAAAATCATGCTCAGGATCACATGGTACCCCGGTACCCCCCTTGAACAGCCTGAAGTTCAGAGATCCATAAATGATCGCAAATCCACAGAAAAAACCACCACCCTCTTCCTAACATCTCGTCTTCATTTCATCTCAGACCTGCGGCTTCGACTCACCGATCTCGATTATGTCGATCCGTCGACTCACGGCTTCGTTCGTCCCGCAACAGCTTCTCGCAGGCTCCATGCAAAAGCTGGGTCGTGGCCTGGGAGCCAGTGACCCCGATGACCGGACCGAGCGGGTGCGGAATTCCAGGGGCTGACTCTCAAACCTGGGACTGGTGACCCGATTCAGTTGGGGAGGTACTCAGTGGTCGTGGCCATACATGCCCTGCTTGGAGTGTCTAATAGGTATATGAGTTCCTCAGAATCAAAGCACTGCGGACCATGCGTGTGAGAAGCGAAACCCTCTGAGAAGCAAGCATCTCTCCGCGGATAGCGGCGCTTGTTGAGCGACATAAAATGCCTCTCCTTCAAGGGTTGCTGCGGCTCAGTCAAGCAACTTTGGCTGCTGACACAGTCAAACAGATTCATGATCATTGAGCCAGTGCCTCCTCCAGCATGACAACATGCTGCGTGTACTCTGTACAAAGCCTGCAAAGGCTCAAGACATGGGAGAGAAGAAACATGAGAAACCTTGAGTGCCGCTCGCCCCCCAATCTCCGAAACAGGGGAGAGATCACGTGCAGCTCCTGCCTCTCAAGGAGGCTGTTTGCGCTAGCTGCGCCAGCTGTGCTAGCTGCCCCTACCCCATCACCTGGAGCGGCTTCATGACTCGATCCGCAGAGAGGTCAGTCATCTTCCCAGCCACACAGCGCCCGAGGTCAGGCCCTACTCCGGACCCCATGATTCACCCGACCTGTGGGATCCTGGCTGCTTGGGATCCTTTTGGGGTCGCCCAGGCCAACGGTGTCGTGTTTTCGTGTTGGGCGCCGCGACCGGATCCATGAGCCGCCATCTCCCCGAAACGGGTCTCTGGTGGAACCGAGGCCTTTGGTGACAGCGCTTGGCATGGCGCATCAAATCGCTACACTGCAAGTGAGTGCGAATTGAACTGATCTGCCTGAACATGCAAACATGATGAGCGATGTCGCACCTGAAGTGGGACAGAGCGATGGTTGTTGCCGTCTATCGGATGATTCTAGCGGTCTATTTGGTAAGCAGCTCCATGCAAGAGCCAAATTTCAATTGCGGATCAAAGCAATTGAAGCCAAGAAGCTTCTCATAGCTTGTCTGTTGAATGGCTCGAAAAGTGTCTTGATCTTTCTCAACTCTGCTTGTCATTGTTCTCAGCACAAACACAAATTTTGCATGGCTCTTCAACGGCATCGTGCTGATAGCAGGTCTAGCTGTCGCCGCAACAGGACAGACGATAGCTGGAACGATGGAAAAAGCAGCAGAAAGAACACACCTTCCAGTTATAAGACTATAGTGTTTGCGTTTATTTGTCTACTTGTTTTTTGGTTCGCTCCCAGCACCTAGTTTTTGTCTTCAATTGTAATTTTCTGTTGTTGGACTCTCCTCGAACCGCCCACAAATTCAGGAAACGGAGTCGATTGGATCACCTGGAGATGGGACGACCCGCTTCCCATCGACCCCACGCGAGACGAGAGGACATACACTCAACCTGGGCTCACGACTCTGATAGCATTCTGCAATTGTGATGGAATAATGACCAAGTCCTCACATCCACCAGGAATCGAATGGAACCGGCTGACAGACTCCCGAATTGGAAGGAGGAAAGGCGCGTCGTACGCGCCTTTACGCTTCCTGCGGCCGCTCTGTTCGGATGAAAGGCCCCCAGTCGCCCGAACTGACCGCGTCGCGCAGGGAAGCGGAGCTCTTCGGTTCTCCTCTACCTTGGTCGTCAGGTCCTCTTTGGCCTGCCATGGTTGACCGGTCTCCACCACGGTCCCGTGGATCCCGGACCGGACTCCCTCCGAGCGGAGAAAAAAAAAAGGAAAGAAAACGGCCTGTTGATCCTTGTAGACGTACACCTGGTGGGCGAAAGGCAGCGGCTGACAGCTCCGGTGGGCCAGATTGGCGGGTGAACATCAAACTTACATGAACTGCCTGACTGTTCAAGATCTTCATCCCCTTCGATGCGTTTTGCCAGGCCAAAAGGCGTTGACAAACATCAACGCGCGCGGTGAAAATGCCCGCGGCACCTCAATGCCATTCTCAGCCAGCGTGAGGTCGCTGTCAATGAGGATCTTCTTTTCTCTTGCTGCCTCCAAACGCTGCCCCCCACCAGCGCCCCCTGCCCGCGCCACGTTTGGTCCAGGTGTTGGTCGCAGGCAGAGGTCTGTTTCAGAGACGAGGCGCGTTCTCCGTGGGAAAACGACAAATCCGTGGCAAGATACCCAACAAAAGACCAAAAAAGACCAACAAAAATGGCCAACTCCGACGCTGTCGTGGACAAACACCGATTCAGAGACCAACGAACGAAAGAGACGAGACCGAGACCAGGCCCGCAGCCTTTCCGAGCGGTGTCGACACCGTCGTCGTTTTCCATCGTGACGTGACATGGCCTCGTTGTAGACATTTCTGTCCACGACATCGAACTTGAAGAAGTCGTCGGATTTCGGATCGGTGGACCAGTGGAGGAAGTACTTGCCACCGAAGGCGCTCTGAGCGTCGCGAGGTCGCAGAACGCAGGAGAACAGGGAGTTCCATGTCAAACACATCGAAGCTGAGAAGCTAAGCACCGTACCGTCTCCATGTCCATAATGAAGCGCTGAGTGACCGCCTGTGACGCTAAGCGCTGAGATTTCTACCGTTGATCAACCAACTCCTGCAGTTCATGGGAACTGCAGGACATGCAGGAACCATCCAGAAGCATCCGGGACCCCTTATGTTTTGCTGCTATTCATCAGTCTGAGTCTATCTACATGCATTCATCTACTTATATGTGGCATCTTGTGGCCATCCGCTATCTTGGTGCATCTTGCCGTATCTTGCTCCAAGCTTGGCCAGTCTTCTTTGCGATGTTTTGTCCTTTTTCCGGCCTGCAAGTATAACCTCATTCGAGCGTAGGGTTCCTTCTTCCAAGCGGCCACCTGCGCTGCTCGTCCCGTCGCGGTGAGTTCCCCGGTCGCAACGGAACATCCGGGAACATCCGCCAGCACAGGTGCGTCCCTCTGCGGATGGCATAGTCAATCGCAAGATTTCAGCTTTCACTTGGGGCTGGGTGAGAAACCTGAGTTTTTGAAGGTTGTTGAAGATATTTGAAAATCGAGCACGTCGTAAATAACGGCACTTGTGAAGGATTTGATATGTGCAAATGTTTGAGGCGTTCTTGAAAAAGTGCAATCACAAATTGCTTGTTGAGATTTGGTCAAAAATTGCCAGGTAGAACCGGCATTGACAAACACCAGCGGCTTCACGGTACGGCTCTAGCTGGCTAGGGCTTCGTATTAGTCAGGTAGAACCCGCATGATGGGAATCTATGTATTTTATGATAGCACTCAGAACATCTTGTGACAAGAATCTAGCCACCACCAGTGCTTGCAACGATACTATACTACTGCCCACACCACAAATACCACAACATTACCACAAACATTTCTCCTGGTGCGGGTGTAGCGGCGCACATAAGGACCATACATGAGAAACCCCACCATACATCCTGCTACAGCATGTGCTTTTTGAATCCCTTTGATACGTTTTTTATCTTCCAGATTGACTGTGGTTGGCGGAGAGTCCTGCAAGTTGTAAATGAATGGATCTGGGCCTGAGCGCATGAGTGTGCTCATCCAAACTCAGCTTAGCCATACCTGGGCCTAGCTAGGTCAAAAAGCTGGGTCCCTCGCTGGGCTTTGGTGGAACAGGAGGCAATACCTGGATCACCTGCAGTCGGGGTGCATGCAACACACCAGCAGCTTCGAACAGCGTCCTTCCGCAAGAAAGCACTGCTCCCCCACCTCCTTGGCATGTGCCGGAGCGCCTGATGGAAGCATGTCTACAAGTCAAAAAATCGGCGGTTTGATGGTGCACTTCGAAGATGTCTGACCTAGCTAAGGAACAATACTTCAACATACGATGCGCAACGCGCATTGTCACCTGCCACAAGGGAGGCTGCAGCCAGCGCAGCTGCAGCAAATGTTCTACCTTGTGTGGGCCACTCAAAACGGTCAACATGCGATCGCCAAGGTATAAACTGGTATCAACCCTAGAACTAACATGGAAGTGGATGGCATGGCCCCTTGGAAGACCACTTTCCTCTACAAACCGGAGCTTTTACACTTCCATGTTAGTTCCAGGGAGAGTACCTAACATCTACAAATCCTTGCAATGTTTTCAAGTGAAAACCACCTCCGTTCGTCCCACCCAACCCTTTGGTGCTCAGAACGGCAGCCGCCGCCCGGCTGCCAACGGCCGTTCGTTCCACAAGCCGCCAAGCCACGCCCGTTCGTCGGATCCCTGGCGTGTCGACGGGTGTCACGGTGTGTCACGAGACCAGAAGATCGTTTCCCCATAAAGAGTCAAAGACCAAAGACTGGTCGAAAAAGCTGGTACCGGGTATAGGGTTTTGACTTCTAGGGTATCATGATATCAACTATAAATTATATAATCAATATATTGCCACTATATATATATAGTTATATATATATATATGACCATTGAATCATGGTTCATGTCACAAGTCAAGGGCATGTGGAAAAACAATCATGGACGTTTAGTTTAGTAAGGTCAAGGTTGAAGTTTCGCCTGACTGCGGCAGCTCTTCTGCGCTCCTGGCCACAAACCACTCAGAGAAAAACAAAAACAACAAAATACCGTCTAGAACACTCTTTGCACATCCCTCAAACCACTGGAGACTGCCATAGACTGCCCAAATGCAAATTTTCAGCGTTTTTTTCTGCAAAATCCCTGCGTCGTCGCGTCGCGTCTTCTGTTCCGTTCGCTCACGTCCGTCGCCTCGGAGATCGGAGGACTCGCTCCGTCCGGACTGGGCACAAAGGAGTCTGTCCTGGCGAGTGCGCCGTCCTGGTCCGACTCGCTCTGCGCAATCGGATGGGCTCCGATCGGATGGGGAGAGAGGATCAGAGTTGGACAGCTTATGCAGGAACGACCCGTGGCGACCCGTCAAGTGCTGCGTGGGTACCCTGCAGTTGGAGAGCAGGAGGTTTCAGCCTGGCTTGGGGCTGAAGAATACAGTGAAAGGATGGGTTTCAGCCTGGCTTGGGGCTGAAGAATACAGTGAAAGGATGTAAAAGGGTATGTATGGGCTACATACAGTTGACGCACCAATTGCCAATTCGTTGTGGCGACTCCACAACGAAGTCGAACGAACGGAAAAGCACCAATGGTTGCAGAACAACAAACCCAAAGGCATGGACAAATTCAATGAGAAGCAAATCTATTCACCGTTAAAAAACCTAATAACCCCCAAAGGCATGCCCTGGAATGGACAGAGCTTTTGCGACATGGACAGACTGGACAGACTGTCCGTCCCCACGGCGCCTGAGCGTCGCCAGCAAGCACAACGCAGCCGTGGTCACCTGAGAAAAGCCACGCGGAGAAACGAGTCGCAGGACCTGGAAGAGAGATCTCGGCAGGTTCGAGTTCCTGGAAATTGGGAAGAATAGACCACAACAAATTTGGTTGAGTTTCTCCCTACTAGGAGCAATGTTCGCTACTAAGTAGGGGCTCCTGGCCTTACTACATACGAACGGAGGGGCTCCTGGCATCGCTACGAACGGAACGGAGTGTCGGTCACGGCTTGGTACTTCGGACAAAAAGCGATGGTTGGGAGTGCGCGAGCGACCGATGCGGACTGTCGTGACGTCGTGTCTCTTTTTGGTGGCAATTCGGGAGATCTCCAATTTGGAAGGGTTAATGTCATTCTGCAGATTCAATGTGAGGTTCTTTTATTGACAAGTCGGGGGAAAGAAAGAAAGCAAGAAAGAAGTGATGCACAATTTGCCGCCGCACCGAAGATGTCTTTTTGTCCCGTAGTCGGCACACACCTGTGACTGCCCCGCAGCAGCCTGTTGAGCGATGTGTGTTGGGCACATTGGGCGGCAAGCTGCCCTTGCAGTTTGCCAAACCGTTGTACCAACAGGAGTCGCGTAAGCAAAGATCCCACCCAGGATGCAATCCAATATCAAGACTATTCCCCCATATTCCCCCTACTCAATTGAGGCCACTGGTTCTGATGCTGCAAGCACATTCATCTTGCATCAGGCACCTGTATCAGCTTCCAAATGCGGGTCTACTCTGTGCCAGAAAGCAACGGGGCAGGACTTAGATATCACTGCTTCGCAGGATACCGGTTTGGCGTTCATCTGTAGCCACTTCAGTTCTTGTCTCGGCATGTGAAGCAGCCAAACAAAGCACCAAGATCAAACCAGTCATCCACGGCTGTCAGAATCTCCCGCTCGGGCTTCTTGTCCGCATGTTTTGGGACCTGGAACGCCACCATTTCGGATTCCCACGTGATATTTTGTTCGTCCCGCATCTTCTCTGAAGAGTCGGATGGTGGTGCAAGTTTGGCAGAAGGAGAAGCTGATTCGTCGTTGTCCTCTGCAGGGCAAGCATGATCGGTTTTGCACATTGCTGAGAGGAGTCTGGGACAGCTTGGGACCGGTCAACGCACTTGAGCCGCACAAGTGGGGAGCACATGCCATAGACGTGACCAAAACAGGACTGTATCCAATTAGGATGAAAAAACAATCGAATCATTTCATATCCTATAAATATAGATGTCTGATGATGTCTGAGCTCTAGCAAGTGTTGGCACCTACCTTTGAATGGTGTTCGATGTACCTGGAAACCCAAGCAACCAGAAATGAATAGATGTTTCCACAAACAACCACTTGCTATTAGCAAGGATCTCAAGCTGGCGCCATATGTTTCCACAATAACCATGTGTATTTCTGTTCAAGTGAAAGAAAACATGGGTTCCAAAAACCCGATCTTCCTCCAAAACGACCGACCGATACCGATACCGCTCCCCGAACGACCGGTCGTCGCTGAAGCGCTCGAAAACGAGCGGAGCGCCCGCGCCGCTCTTCGGATCCGAAGAGACGATGGATTTCCGCCCGGTGTGACCGGTGTTTGATCCCGTCAACGAAGAAATCCTGGTCTTTTACTGGCCACATGGCCGAACTGGCCATCGCTGTAAAGTGGATATTCTTTTGGGGATGGCAAAGAAAAAAGCCATCCATCCAGACCTGATGTTCACCAGACCCTGCAAATTTGGAGCCACTCAATTTCTGACCATGGTCTTGTTGATGGCGAATCAGCTGCCAAGGCACCACTCCAGATCTTCGCCACCGGCCCATGGAAGCCGATGCCGGGCCTCCGAAACGCAGGGCTCCAAGCAACCAAACATGGTTGTTCGGGGGCCTAGAGCCTATAGGAGGACGTCTAAATGCTTGTAGTCTGACTTGATGAGATCAAAAAGAACAAAATACGTTGTTCAATGTTTTTCATGTGTTTTCTTGATTGGGTCAAGACCAAGTCCAACTGATGGAGCCGGGAAGGTCCTTCGCAGGCCTACGCAGGCCTGCTGTGACCCCCAGCTTGGCCCGAAACAAAACTTGAGCCAAAAACTCAAGTTCGCAAACGGTTCACATGATTTCACATGCATCTCATATCACAGCAAGCTGCATGTGGCAAACGATTGTAGGACATGGTTGGATGTCAGCGCATCTCAAACAGCTCAACCGGTCTCATGTCGATTTAATCATGGGGCCAGCCGCTTGGTATCTAGAGGACAATTTGAGTGTGAAATGAGCAAAGTCGTGAGAGCCATGTGCCCTCCAACATTCGAAATCAGCAGCGCAGGGTATTGTGAGAGTGTTCAGAAACACCCTCACATCTGAAGGATGTGGAAGTTCAACCAGTTTGCCTGACACTGCAACTTCAATGACTTGCAGTGTAAACTAGTTAAGATCCTGGAATGACTTGCTATGACTTTGTTACTGTTCACTCCAGTATTTTTGAGCACCTTTTTTCAGATCTGCTACTCCGCCATCCCACACTGTGAGCTTTGTCACACTGCAGTCTGAGTCTGCAGACTCAACCGACTCAACTCAACCCTCCTCAGTGCTTTTCTCAAATCCACCAGTGAAGTTTGACAAAAACACCGGGGCACATCGATTAAACCACTGTGGCATTGAGGTCCAGTGCTTTGGGGTGTTTCACGAGAGACGTCGGCGAAGCGCTGTGGAGGATGTCGGTCCGTCTTTCAGAGCGAAAGCGACGCTGCGATAGGCCTGAAGAGTGGCTGCCACGGCAAGAGTGGCTATGGATCTTCCAACAGTCCAAGCTGCTCCATCCGCAACAAACGAAGCAAAACCACGTGTCAAAGGAGGAAAACCCATGAAAACATATGAAGCAACCATTTAGAAACCACAAAAGACTTTTGGTCGATCCCTGCCACCATTGGAAACCCATACTCCACTTCCAGTCCTTGACAGCAGTCAGACCCTCCGCCACCTACTCGGTAGCAGAGGCCTTTTCGACGTCTCTGTCCTGGAAGATCACTGGGTACGGGTACTGTCGCTACTGAGGGATAAACGGTGATTTCGCAAAGGAACAGCAAAAAGCAGCATCAAACGCCACTGGCTGGTCCAAGGATGTCCGGTCGGGTCCCGTCCGGTCCGGTCCTGCGACTTGGGCGCTTTGCGGTGTGATCTGGATCCACAGCAGCACAAGGACTTCCGTCCTTTGGCCTTTCAGGTGGTGCCGTCTCAGGAGGCGGAAAGGACGCCATCCACTTCGCAGCTGAGCTTTGCGAGCTTTGCAAGTCGGAAACTGGCAAAACATGGCAAAACCATGTGCACAACCAAGAAACTCTCGGGATCGTTGGCGTACTTGGAGACACCTCCTGCAGGCAGGGAAAAACCGGGCATTCATCCAAAGTGGGAGTGTGTGTGGTTTTGCCTGAAAGTAACACCGAGCGCATGTAGCACATCATGTGCTTCATGTGTTTCGTCATGTCGGCATTTCGAGGTGCATGAGGCATGATTTCTGAGGCCGTTCCTGCTTTGCTTTGATGTTGACCATCTGCAAGTCCGTCTTGGTCTTGCCCTGAAGCACAAAGGGAGTGGGCGAGCGCGAGCCGAGGGGCAGTCTACATGCCAAAATCACCTCTGGCTAAATGGCTAAACAAACCTACTCAAAAAAATAAGTGATGTCTCAAGTCAAGGTAAGACCTCCGGAATCTTCTGCTCCTCTGATCCCAATATATCCTTGCAAAAGGGACATCAAGACGCCACACGCCCCTCCCAAAATCCATGCACTGCATATCCATTCATGTCTCTTTCGAGAACAACCCTCCCATCTTCGAGTTCTTCCACCCAACATCGATTTGGCCAACCGCGTCGTCACAGAACCTTCCCTCGTCACAGAACACCGACTCCCAACGACCCGAGTCGGTCACCGCGACGTGGTGGCGGGGCGGCTCCTGCACCTTCGCCAAGTCCACCACCGAACCTCCGAAGAACCTCTCCAGGCGGACCGGCGGCCCCGATGAGACCGGGCACTCGAGGACGGAAGCCGAGCGGACGCGGACGCGGACGCCGGCGCAAGAAGCGGACGCGCCAAAAGAATGACACCATCATGAGCCCCCTGCAACATGGACTGTGAACATGGACCCCTGCAAGACATTGGTAAGACTATTTGCATTCTACCCGCCCAGTGGTGAAGGTGGTTTTCAGGGTCCATGTTCATCTGCAGGAGGGTATCCACAAATGGTCTAGACCTACGAACTAAGACGTGGTGTGCTTCATCATTCGCAAAAAACAAAAAACTAAAGCTGCAGATGGTTCCGTCCTCACTGTCTCCTCCAACTGGGTGACTTCTCTGGGCCTTCCGGGAAGACATGGAATGATGGGGGATGGCACCCGGCACCCCCATGGGTGCCCCTGGGGACCCCTGAACGTTCTGACCAGATTCCTCATGATGAACTCTTTGTTTGGGTGTCAACCTACCATGGTTTGGTGGGGAAGGTGCCATGACGAAACCTGCCATGTTCGAACGGAATGTGAACCAGTTTGGGAGGGTATCCAGATTGAAACTTCGAGAGATTCTTTTTACATAGTCCCCTGTGAATGATGGTTGGTATCACTTGCCTGACATTTTAGAGAGGTTCCTCTATTGAGTTCGACTGTCGTTTGGATGGAGCTGTAGACCGGTAGACCCAATCGCTGTGCCAGAAGGCCAGAAGCCATGGATTTCATGATGTCCATGATGCTGCAATATCCTGCATGTGAAAACCTGCCTGGGTTCTGTGTCGAAGTTCACCAGCAAAGAGGCTCTCGACAAGGATGCCTTTGAGGCATGAAGAATCCACAATCCATCCGTATGAGATCATCATGGCAAGGAGCAGATCGACGATGCAAGTTCTCATCAATGGCATACCTAGCCCCACCTTGGAGGCTGGATCTTCAGAAACTTGAGACGACTTGAAAAAGAATTGAACATATTTCAAAACATTCAAGCTGCTCAGGCTCCAACTCTGAAACCAATGATTTCCACACAGCTTCCGATTTGCTCCATTCAGCAAAGCGACCTCCATGTCTTTTTATATAATCACAAATTATATGGCAAAAAAACTTCTGGTGGCCTTGAGAGGCTGGTCCGGATTGCTTTTGCCTAGTTCATATGCGAGCCTCAGCCCAAGCTGGTCTTTGTCAGACTTGGTGTGGAGCAGAATCAGGCTGTGAAAGTTTGCACTCACCAACTCACTGTTTTCATGAAGTGTGCACCATGAGTTGTCCTTCTGAGAGTTTGGATGTATGATGTATACTAAAAACAAAAAAACACGTCACTGCTTTCGCACAAATCTCGCACACTTTTTGTTGTCGTTCTGAGCGCAGCGCTGAAGAGAATCGACATTGCGCCGCAACTGCAAGACCTCTTTTAGTTCTGGACCTCAAAGAGAAAGAGTTCAGTCGTCTGAAACTCGAAGTGAGAAACAAATGAAAGCCAGATCCGTTCTGCGAAGGAGAAACGATCCCCAATGAGGCTCGAAGTCTAAACCGCCAGCGGACGTGCTGACCGGAAAAGCTTCCAAAACCCAACCCTCGATCATTGGGGTGTCCTTGGTTGGGTCCAACAGTCCCAAGCCAATTCAATCCAAGCCACAGAGTTGAGCTTTCGCAGCTGCAGCCTGGCCGTTTCGCCCCCCGTCCGTCCGGGGCGAAGTCGGACTCGTCCGATCGATCGGAATCCACCGTCCTCCACGAAGCAATTGTGGTTGTCGATGCTTTCGGGATTCACACAAACGAGACCTCGGACGTGCGACCGGACCATGGACCACCTACTGAAGTACCGCGATGGCGGGGTTGGTGGATGTTGGTGGCACAAAGGGGGAAACACGCCATCCCGTCGCTGCGACAGAGTGGATCTGAGGATGCGGACAAAGATGCACCCGAAAAGGCGGTCTTTTCCGTGCCTGGCCCCCCGAAGACCGGTGGTTTCCGAGAAGAAAGACAAGAGGTCCGTGGTTTACTCAACGGTTGTCAGTTCTTGTTTTTTAGTGTATATATGTGTATATCATGGTTTTCTGCTGTTTTCTGTTGGTTCAATTTAACAGATTTTGACATCAACCGGGTTTGAACATCTTTTAAACCAGTTGAATGCACACATCACGCTGGTCTTCTGCGTTTCCTGTGGCCTGCGTCTTTTTCCCTTTGGTCCTGAGCAGTTGAAGTGTCTCAACGAACAGCGGAACGAGTCAGTGTCACCGACTCAGTCTGTCTTTGTTGTGTTTCTTCACTCTCTGCAACGGTCTGCAACGTTTGGTATCTAAAAGCTATGTATTAAGCGAGTACGTAAACGAAGCAGCAATAGTCCATCCAGACAGTACCAGACGAAGATGATACGAAAGTAGCATGAATGTCATGTCATCATGAGATCCCAGCGGAGCTATGAGATCAGAGATCGCATTCATGAGCTCATCCTGGCCCCGACTTCATAACGTCAGTCATGGCAGCCATGGCATCGCTGGTGTAATCCCAACTTGTGCTGACAAACAGCATCCGAGCGCTGCACGGCAATCCGCCGCTTCAGCGTTCTCATGCAAGCTGGGTCCTCGGATGCGGCGCGCGGAGAGTGCGCGGTATTCGTTCGGTGCCGCCGTCCAGTCCGATGCCTCCGAGATAAAGATGGCCTGGGCTTCTGGGCCTCGTAGCGATCGTCGTTCAGCTTCAAATGCCGCAAAAAGGCACCCATTCCTCAGCTGTGGGAACACCACATTCATGTCTTCATCTAACTGAAGGTGTTTTAGGTGTCAGACCAAACGGGAAAAAGATGGCATCTTCAACCTGTGCCGTCAACGGACGTCACACGAACACGTCAACACTGCACCGTACGGACGTGTGCTTTGCTCGCCTCCAGATACAGCATCGCATTCAAAGCGTTCCTCCAGAGACGAGCAATGTCCGCAATGTACACGTCCTTCGTTTCGGCCCATCGTCGCGTGGCGTCGCAGCGCGAACAAGCGGAACGCCGCGAGCCGCGGGGGGATTTCCCGAGCCTCGTTCAATCGTCGAGAGGGCCTTCCTGTTGGACGGTCTTTCCAGCAGCACCTGCGGACGAAACACCCAAATAGGTTAGAAAAAAAAAACGTGCCATGATGAAGACCATTTGTTTAGACATATCGACTGGCTTTTCCTTGTTGTGTTTTAACATTGTTTTGCACTTTTGCCATGGAAATCCATGGGTTTTGCCATTGTTTGAGGCGCAAATCCGGTCGGCCCAAATCCGGTCATCGGCGTGATCGGCCAAGGAGGCATGCTCAAAAGCTCCGTGTTCGGGCTGGTGGGATATCTGTGACGCGAGGGATGCAAGGGACATGTTCGGTATCCTAGCCGCAGCATCCAAATGTGAATATAGGCTTTGAAGGCTACAGGGAATATCTCAGGCATTGGTGAAAACGAGGTTCCAGAAGCAAAAGATAGCAGCAAGTTGTTGACACGATCAGCATGTCAAAATATATGTGTTTGAATCTTTTTGAATGAGAACAGAGTCAGAGATCGATCTCATCAATTCAACAAATGGGAATTGGTTCACTGAAAACAATTTCCACAAATATTTCCTGCACACTCATTTTGGCCAACCGAACGCCGAACCGAACGCCGAACCGAAGCGACCGTTCGGAGGGCCGCTGGTGGCCCAAAAAGCATCCAAAAGCGGCAAGTGGGATCCGCTGGGCGATTGAACCACTCTGCACCGTTCGTCTTCTGTCGTGTTCTTAATATGCATGGCCCGTTGCTCCCCAAAAAGTTCTGCACCTTTGGGATCACTTGGGACACCTCCAACACGATCGACGAATCGGGCATGTTCATCCTCGGTGTTCCTTTTGGCGGGGTGAAGAAGGCAAAGTGGGAAAGAAGCAGAATGGGCCAGCGGAGCAAGAAAAAATACTCCACCGAAATGGAGTCATTTGGTCCAAAAGCTGGAAAGACCACATGACTAATGTATACGTCGCCTCGATGAGGTGGATGTCGTTGAGTGGTTGGACTCTGTCCTGATCAAGAGTCGGTGATCTTCAGAATCACCGCATTGGACGGACGCCCAAGAAGCAGAGTACCAGTCCAAACTCTGCCGGCGGCTTTGATGTCCACAAATGAACCATGATGAGCAAATAGATGCAAAAATAGAGTCCGTCATGGGTTGGATCCCCTGCAAGTGTCTGAACATGTCTGAACCTACCATTGTCATGGTATTCTGGCAGTCTCCTTTACTTCCAGACATTTGCACCAACCAAACCCACCTTCCAGCGCCGTTCGTCCGTCCTCCTTGGCTGTGCGTCGTTCCTCTCCTGCTCGAGACCCCCATGACGAGACGGAGCGGTGGACGAGCGTGCGGCGCGTCCGCCACCCCTCCTCGACCGAATAGGCTAGGAAGTCTTCGGCTTGTGCACTTTCACCTGGCGAGAACCGGGATCCGGCGTCTCTCTCGTTGAAAAGAATACCCACACCCAAGTCGGAAGGCGCTATGGAAAAAGACCACAGCTTGGTCCACTTTTGATAAAAGGGATTAATCAATATTTTAATATAGTTATACAACTATACACTTACAGTAGTTATGTGATATCTTAAGCATTCTTAAGCATTCTCCGCATGTCTGGTCTTTCCACCACAGCAAAAACTCCGCCTATGTTTGGCGCGGCACTGTGCAGGACCCAGAACCAACCTGCGCTACAGGACTGGGACGAGGACGACGAAGCTGCGACGCCCGAGATACCGAGGCCGCAACCATTGAAGCCCTGGGGCGAGCCAGCCGGATGCAGCGGGGATCGAACATCAAAACGCACAAGTTCAGACAAAGATCCAATGCATCCAATACAGAAAGTCTTTGTGGTCTGTGGTCTGTGATCCAGAAAGGAAAACAACAGACTGACCACAAATGACCAGTTCAGCCGGTATTCTTCTTCTATGACCAGTCAGTGCACGTGTCTTTGGAGGCAGTTCCACCACGGACAAGTAGTTCATGACTTGCAAAGATTGTTACAGTAGTGCAAGATACTAGGAATATGTCTCCAGTTGGATTTGTTGACCCAACCCCAGCCTGAGGACCATCACAGTCCGCACTGCTCCCTCCACGCGAAGTCGGCGTGGTCGGCTGGACGGCAGAGAAGTTATTCTTCTCCACCTGCGAAGTACCAGGTCCCCTTGTTCAGTGATTAACTTAATCACCAGAGACCCCTCTTGGGCAAGGTCATGGAAATAACCCCCTTCACTGTTTCATTCTAAGCCACCAACCAAATGTTCCATCTTGACATGTTCATCTCGTCATGAAAAACACCAGTCTTGACCAAAAATCGGTCACTTGCATTAGTCACTGGCCTTGGGGATGCGGCGAACAATTGGTTGCGAAGATCATCGAAGATCGACATGGTCCATGCAAGAAGGATTCCAAGTCTACTCAAGTGTGGTGTCAGAAAACTGCATCAGACTCGACATGACTTGATTGTATACATATATGGCATAATGATATAACATAACGTTCAACCAGTTCAAGCATGGTTTTTAAATGTTTTTCTGTGTCGACACAGATCGGGGTGATTCGAAAGAATGTGTGCCTGCAAGGAGTTGAACGCTGAATCATAGTCGGCGATGACTGGAACGGCAACCACTTGGAATTTCCCAAGCAAATAGTTTTCCTGGCAGAGATGGCAAAGGTCCAGCTGCCGCAGATTCTGACAGAGCAATGAGATGTCATATGATGTGATATGATGTGATGTACTGTAAAGATCTGTAAAGTATAAGATGCGAGCTTGGAAGTAAAGAAACTATCTGAAAAAAAAAAAAAAAAACATAGAACAGTACTGGCATTGCACAGAATGTTGGCTTGAATCACACAGGGACTCGCGAGACCGGCTCTCTGAGTCCCTCACCTGTCGTCTGACTATGAAGCCTGTCGTCACCTCTTTTGGCACTTCCTTGGCGTTCTCCTCCGATGACATGCAACCCCCAAGCCCCCACAGGTGGAGCCCGGATCTATCCGTGAGCCAGTACTCAACGATACCAGGATCTACCAGGGAGGTCAACCTCCCAAACGGTTCTGGGATGTTTTTGGGGCTGTTAGCTATTGACCTCGTCTAATTCAATCCGTCCGAATCCGATCGCAACCAAACCTCTGAGAAAGGTCGACCGAACCGCGCGCCAACCACACGCACACCAATGCCAAGAACTGTGACCGAACACAACCAAAAAAGACGTCGCGTTTGATGTGTGTGTGTGCTGCTTTTTTGAGGGGTGCCACCAAAAAAAAGCCATCGTGAGAGGTTCCCGTCTTTGTCATTCCGACGGTCTTCGCATGTTTTCTGGCGAGCCTCGTCGCCCTGGAAAAGATGGATTTGCGACATCTGTTTCATCGGTCCAGGCCTCATGTGACTCTCGCCACTTCATCTGCCGTGCGTGTCTTTCGCAACAAAAATACGAGGGGCTATTGGTTCACTTGGGAGTGAGACGGAGTAATAAAGTGTCAGGTGATATACATACCTCATCATACCTCTTGAATATTCTATACAGTATATGATCTTGAATCCTGCTGGTTCTTTACTTGGAAGATCTTGGGAGTATCCCATCGATTCATCCACCAAGGCCATAGGTCAGGCCATCTGTTTGGCCCTCTGTTTGATACACCAAGGCGACCGACGGCAACTGCTGCGCAGACTCCGCCACCTGGGCGTCTTTGGCGACGATTTTCTGCGGGGCTGGGATTGAAAAACACAGGAAGTGAAGATGATTGCCAAAGACATGGGTCATTTGAATGCCCTCTCCTCTCAATTCTTCTCACACGCCGGCCTTCTGCAAAAGCTTGCCTGCAGCATCCTCGAAGCTGCTCCACATGCTCAGTACCTGCAGGGTAAACCCTCTCCATCTTGCATTGAAATAGGGAGGCGCCCAAAAGACAAATTGCCAAAAAATCTGGTGAAATAGAATGTAAAACGACTGAACCTATTGTCCCTTGGTTGCAAGGTCTCCCTAATTCAATACAATCCCATGTATATTAAGTGAGTGATGGACAAAAACCTCTGGTTAGAGGGACCTAGCAACGAATGTTCAGGGTCGGCCTCCTTCCTCTGTCCATTCTGAACCAACCAGGGGGGCGACCCAGTCCACCCTTCCAGAGTTACCTTCCGAAGCTGCCAACAACGACGGGTCCGCGGGCCGCGAGTCCGCGGTCCGGGGCCTCATCATGACCCAGCTGCTCGACGACACGCTGCTTGGTGACATCTCGTACCTTGACGTCGTTTCAGACGTCAGCGGACATCTCCGTCGTAAAAAAGACTCCCACATGTGACACGTGCCATGGTCCTTACATGTCGAAAACCATCGAAAACGGCTCTGTGTTTTCCCTGAAAGAGGGTTTTCCTCTACCAACCAGTGAGGCTTGGATCACATTCAATAACCAGTCGTGTATACTGCCTTGAAGCAGAAGTGGAACAGTTCTACAAGAGGCTCCTGGTCAGCTTCCATGATTGGAAGGTATAAAATCGCAGTGTGCCAGACTGACCGGAGAAGCATGGGGTTCAACCCCGGCGTTGTACCTGCCCGAGACTCCCGCACCTTCGCGGTGGAAAACCGGTGGCCCGTACCCCCGGTGGCCTTGAAGCGGAGATGGTCCGACACCACGGGCATGGAGGGATTGCTCTGGGCCTCGGTGAGGCGTTTTGGGTGAAGGATGTGGGCCATGTGATGCCACGCTGCGGAGGGGGGGCGTTCGATTTCGGGCTCAGAAGTCTGGCCAAAGCTATGCGATCCGGGCGAAAGCTATGTGTATAGAATATTGATGCCCAGATGGGGCCAGTCATCCAGATTCTACATGACTCCCGTTGAAGACTTCGCATGTCCATGTTATTGCCCCGCGCCCGACCCGTTGCCCCCCGCCCTGGGCCGTCGGTGACTGCGCTGCGCCCCCGGACGTAGGGCGAGAAGCCCGCGTCTTGGGGGTCCAGCGGTTCGCCCTGCACGGTCTCGACCGCCCATCCGACCGTCGGCGGCGGTCTCGAAGATCCACGGCTTCGAAGATCCGTCGTTTCAATCCCGAAAGACGTATGCTTCATGATGATTCGTTCATGATCTGTAAATGCCATATGGTCTCTTCAAGCTCAAAACCATACACTGCCATGGAATGACCCAGGTTGCTGGGCCGGCCGATTCCAAGGCCGAGCCTTTCGGAGGAAAACAAGGAGAAACCACGAGGATTCCACGGCCTCTCGTGGTCGAAGTTCGTGGTAGTCTTCTTTGACCTGCGGATGTGTTGGATGGGGTCGGAAAGTCACTTTGGAACACAAGTTTTAGTTCACTTTGGATAACAAAAGATGTGTCAATTTGGAAAACAAAACAACCCAAAAACATGGAAGGGTGACAAAAGCCAATTTCTGAGAGATCACTTTGGAACACAACACACCAGGTTGTTTGGGTCACTTTAGAACTCACACACACACACAGACACGGATGGAGAGGGCTTAAAGATGAAGGATGGGGTGGGGTGGGGGGGAAGGGTATATAGAAAGAAGTATTCATATACCACACCAGTTTTTTTGTATATACTAAGGAAAAGGCTAAAGGTTGAAGAATATCTTGCTATAGTGGTTACTGTGGCCTCCAACCTACTAGCGATGGCCTCCATAGTAGTAGCGATGGCCTCCAACCTACTAGCGATGACACGCGTTCCGAAGCGATCACATTCCTGCGTTCCGAAGCGATCGTTTTTCTGCGTTCCGAAGCGACGACCTACCTGTTGGATGGTGTGTTCTTGGGAGGGAGACATCAGGAATGCCCAATGGGATCCAATGGGTATCCATCCATCCATCCATCCATCCATCCAGCCAGCCAGCCAGCCATCCATCCATCCATCCATCCAACTGATGATCCAACCATTCAACCAACCATTATCATCCACTCACTGGAGGGGTCCAAAATGGTCGAGATGACCACCCATACTATGGAACTATGGAACCGCAGCAGTTACTGGACAGGTGGCTTCCATTTTGGAGACTCCAGGAGAGCAGATCGCTCGCTCATTGTCCGAGAGCAGATCGGCGCCTGCCATCGTGTGGCACTGCCCCTGAGAGCGGCTCCAATCTTTTCGGCAGCTGCCTGCGTCATGCAAAAGGAAGTCGAGGGTCGAGGGTACCGGGTATATAGCCAATGATCCCTATGAAAGCGATCTTCAAACAAGGTGCTTCTTCACTGTACCAAGCTAAGAAAGGGGGTCCAAAATCGTGAAGAACAATGAAGAACGCACTGTGCAAAAAAGACATCTCTGCTAAGTGGGTGCTCGCGCATTGTTTCCGCTGTCCTCCTGTTCTGGCGTATAGGTCTTCTCTTCGGAAAGGCCTAAGAACCACACGATGCCCGTCACGCGAGATCCGGCTGAAGCCGGCAAGGGCAACGCAAGATTTCCGAAAAATCAGGTCGACTTTTTCTGCATGTATAAATATGATATATATATATATACATATAATTATATACATCTACCATCATCTACCCTACATATCTACCATTATCTACCCGCACGATCACTCCATATCTCACAGCTTTCTCTAGAAAGACATAGACTTTGTGATTGATTGTGATTGTGTCTACACGGACGGCCTTTGGATCTGGAGGAGCGGAAAGGAGGAGACACTTTCAGAGATGTCTCAGCCTCGGCCAAGTTGTGCAGCAGTCTTCTGCTCGAAATCGCTATCCGCGGGCTGTGCTCAGTCCATAGACCTGCTTCAATGACAACTCAATAGTGGTCCCCAAATAGATAATGGCACGGCTTCCAATACATCTTTAGTTCGGATCGACTTTTCTATCCATTTGGGGGTCTATATGTAGGAATCTTGAGTTGCTGGCTTGGCACACGTTACGCCGGGATGTAGGGGTCATTCTGAAAAGAATAGTAACAAGGTTCGCTACTAGGGGCTCCTGGCCTTACTACTAGGAGCAAGGACGCTACTAACTAGGGGCTCCTGGCCTCGCTACTAGGAGCAAGGACGCTACTAGGGGCTCCTGGCATCGCTACTAGGAGCAAGGACGCTAGTTAGTGCTCCTGGCATCGCTACTAGGAGCAAGGACGCTACTAGGGGCTCCTGGCATCGCTACTAGGAGCAAGGACGCTAGTTAGTGCTCCTGGCATCGCTACTAGGAGCAAGGACGCTACTGGATGATGCCTTCAGCATCTGACTCCACCAAGTGATCCTTCCTCAGCTGCCTCAGTTGCCTCCGCTGGGTGAAAGCGTCAGATCGTGTCAGTCCATCAGATCGACGTGTATGCGTCCATCAGTTCTAAGGCATGGACAGATGCTTCAGTTTCTCCTGGATTCGCTAGGACTCGGATTCGCCCCGAGTCAGATCACCTTTATTCTTCACATGGCTTCATCGTCCGGTTGCTGTGAGACGGGTTTCATCTTCCGGCCTTCCACCGGCTTTCGCTGGGGCGGAGTCGACTTTGGGGGCTTCGAAGTCCTGGCCACGACTGTCATCTTCGAAGATGCGAGTGGCGATGTTCAGCGAACATAAAAAGGGGAAGATGGGCTCCAAGGCTGGATGCCGCTGGATGCCGCTGTGCGGCAACCACTAGGGCAACCCTTTTTCCCAAAAGCATCTCCGATGCTTGGGTTCTCGTTTAGTCGCTAGTGCCGCGGAAGAGCGAAGGGAGGCGCGTGGGTGTGGACGGGGCTGGGGATGGAAGGGAGGGGAGCGAGACGGAAGGTGCATGGGTGTGGACGGGGCTGTGGATGGAAAGAAAGGGAGGCGAGAAGGGAGGCGCGTGGGTGTGGACGGGGCTGGGGAAGGAAGGGAGGGGAGCGAGCATGAGTGTGGACGGGGCTGCGGATGGAAGGAAAGGGAGGCGCATGGGTGGACGAGGGGCGCGAGACGGGAGGCGCGTGGGTGTGGACGGGGCTGGGGAAGGAAGAGGGAAGGGAGCGAGACGGGGTGCATGGGTGTGGACGGGGGCTGTGGATGTGTGGACGGGGCTGGGGAGGGAAGAGGGAGGGGCGCGAGACGGGAGGTGCATGGACGAAGCTGTGGGAGGAAGAGGGAGGGGCGGTGCATGGGCATGGACGGGGCTGCTAAGTGGAACGAAGCATGGAGGGGGCCAATGCTGCTCCATGCTTCGCGGCAGAACGTCGTTGTGCGAGTGGAGCGATCTTGCGCGGCTGATATGCTAATGACGAGGACATGGCTGCACCACAAGCATCAGTGCAGGCTGCTCCGGGTTAGTTCACAAGTAGAACGAAGCATGGGTGGGGGTAGTTCTGCTCCATGCTTCGCGGAAGCACGTTCTGACGCGAGGGGAGCTGTGTTGCAGGGCTTATATGATGGTCTTGGGTGTCCAAAATGTGCACAACGCATGCGCCAGACAGTCAAGTCATGGCCGAAACGGCAGGATTGTTGCATGCCAGAGCCGCAATGCTTGAAATTTGATGGTTGGAACGAAGCATGGAGGGGGCTGATGCTGCTCCACGCTTCCTGTTAAGGGTTGTTAGAAGCCATGTTGCAATCGTTTTATGATCGTTTTGGAGGGCTTTCAAACGGGGGTGTATATGGCAGACGGGGGTGGACGGATGCGCACCAGAACCGCGATGCTTGAAATATCATGGTTGCCACGAGCCTGGAGGGAGCTGATGCTTCGTTTTGGCCTGCAAATGTGTTTTGTTTATTTTTCCTGGGTTGCGCGCTTCTTTTTGCTTTTGGGTCTGCGGGCTCACCTTGTTTCCCAATGTCGTGAGTAAGCATCAAAATACGAGCCGACCGGCAGAAACGGGAATGGTTCGATGGTCAATAATATTTCTTTTCAGGTGTCCTGAGGATCTTTCCTAAGTTGACACTGGAAAGTGAGCTTCCATTGCTTCCCACCATGCTCCTCCAGAACGATCCGCAGCCCATGGCTCCGTTGACTCTCTTGCTGCCTTGCTTAAAGTGTCAAGAGTCAAGAGAGACTGGAGTTTCAGAAGGCTCTCTCGCTGGCTCAGCTCCGCACAGGGATGTGCAATTAGACTTGCATGGCTCAAGGCTCTGGCTTCACATGCATGCTTCTTAGTTTAATATAGCCCATGCAGTTGAGGCAGTGAAATGTCAAGGCATGGCACGTTCATCGTCGAAAATTGACATATTTGATTCAGTTTGATTCTGCAGCACTAGACAAACAACTTGGATCATTTGAGAAAACAAGTGGCGGTGGAATGGGAAAGGGTCGCGACCTCAAAATGGATAGAACTGTAAACCCTCTTTGAAGATGGCTGAATCTATCATCTATGCATGTATTGTGGTCCCACTACACATGTTGGATCATGTTGGGTCCTTTTGTGCAGTCGCAAAGCATCTGAGCTGAAAAGGATTGTAGAAATCCAGCGAGGAACACAGCTTTGGGCTTGCCTGACTGAATCACTGAAAGCTATCGCCTCCCCACAAACTTTTAAGTCAGTAGCCTTGGAAGACTGCCATGATTAGTTCAAGCGAGCTCCTACATCGGCTATGCACATGGCTCGTGTCAATTTCGCCCAAGCAAGGCCTCACGGCCTCATGGTCACGGATGTGAGCTGATCACGGGCCATCGCCTGCAAGTCAAACTTTCAAGAGATTGCTCTGTCCAATGGTCAAAGCAAGAACCAAAGACCCAAGAATTTGGCCTCAGGCAGGGGAGCCTTCCATTTCCTCACATTCTTCTGCAGCGCTCAAGCGCTGAACCACGGCCGTTTTCGGATGAACCCCCAAAGCATCCCAACTCGCTCCGAAACAACCACATCACTCGCTCCACATGTTTTCATGTCGCACATGGCATCACTTTCACTCCAACACCGAGGCCGACACATGTCCACTACCATTTGGGGTTCCGCCTGAAGGACCCGGGCGGACCGGACTCTACGGACCGGACCGAAGAAGAAGACCGGCGGTTCCAGCCACTGAGCTCAGCGCCCCCTGAGACTTTGGAGGGCGCAGATGAAACCCCACCTTCAATGATTTGGGCAGTCTAATCATGTCTAATAGACTCTAATCTATAAGTTTTATCTTTTTGAGCTGAAAATCATTCCGTTGTCATTTGAAAAAACGCAAGCAAAACCGCTACTCACCCTTCGCTTGATGGGACGAACGGAGAGCGAACGGAGAGGCCAGGTAGACCAGACGACGACTTAAGATTTGATGAAAAGGATTGATTAGTATTGAAAAGGATTGAAAAGGTGAAAAGCTCCTTTTGGTCCGGTTTTGGTCCGGTTGTTCAATCATGGTTTCCGCACCTCTCGATCGACTAGTGCTTCTTGCTCTGCTGCTACTTCTCCTGGCTAAGAAGTCTTCACAAATGGATCGAACAAGTACTCCTCCAAATATGCCAGTGAGTGAGTACCAGCTCTCCGAGGCACGCACTCTCGCGTTTTCTTCGACTCCCTGCAGTGTTCAGCCCGACCGTGTCGTTTGGGGCGCGCGGACGGTCCCGAGTCCGGCTGGGCGGAGCCAAGGTCCGGACTTCGTTCGCTCCCCCGACGCGTTCGGCGTCGACTCCTGGACCGGACGGCGAGCCGCTGAGACCGAGGCGGGCGCGCGTGGAGCAAAGTCACGGTGCGCGTGGGTGGGGGTGTGGGCGTGTGGGCGTGTGGGTGGGCGTGTTCCAATGTGTTCCGTGATTGAAGTCGGTCTCGCCACGGGTCAGTGTCTCGTGGTTTGGGGGGATGTTATAGGGTTTTTCCTGTGGACATCTGTCGACACGATGATTTAAGATGTATTGGGAAGATGGATGCAATCAATGACATCTGCACTCAGACAAACGAATAAGTCCATCTGCACTCAGTCCTCTTCAACCTCCCAAAGAGGAGAATAAGGTCCATCACCCAGCGAGGCCGCCAGGATATGCTGAGCGGTGTGAAACAGAATTTCCAAGACTGCTCACAACTGCTGCGCATTCAATTCATCACGGTTCAAAGTCAGGAGGCCTGATTCTTATCTATCTCAGCTCACGCTTTGAAAGTACAGCATTAAAAGGAAATCAGCAAAATGTACCTAGAATTACCTAGACCTATACCTACGGACTGAAAGATGGAATGCCTTGGCAAATTCCAAAAAAACGCCCAGGCAGTCTTAGAATGCGGTCAACTTTCGGGGTGTTAGAATGCTTTGCGCGATTTTGCATGTTGCGAGGCTATATTTCATGCACAGGAACGCTTAGACCCGCATTTAGCATATGTTTTTTCTGCACAGGGAGGGGGTGAAGCAGTGATAGAATTTACAGACATGCATTTTCAGGATGAACCCTAGAAGAATGATTGAAGGCATGGCATGGAGTATGACAATGCCTCTGGAATGGGAGGCAGAACCGGGCACAAGTTGTATAGTTCGAGCTATGCGAGCAAGGGCGATTTCAACAGAATTTGTGGCGAAAAAGAACGCGTCACAGTGGAAGAAACAATAGCTCTGTTTGCTTGTAATGCTTCCAACTAGATACTTAGAGCTCTTGCGTGGAAGAGCAGCACCTCTAGTTCCAAGCAGCAAATGCACAACGTTTGTTTGTAGTTTGTCCATATTCCCAACCTGATCGAACCTGGTAAGGAAAGAAATGCAAACCAAATAGAGAGATCTGCTCTCAAAAGATATATATATATATAATTAGGTTATAGCTATTTAATTTTACTATAATTCATGCGTTAATGTGTAACTGCTTGAAATTAAAATATGCAGTTTACGAGAAAATACAAATTAGGTGGATTTCATATCACCTCCCTTTCTGGGAATGGACGACTTGGCCACCTGAAAATGGGTTGAACATGACTTGGTCGCAACAACTTGACCGTTTTCGGATGCCCGAACTCGGGACCCCGTTTCATTGCTCCACCTCGCAGGCGATGTGAGTGGCGGCACACCGGCGCAGGTGCCTGACGCCGCCCGTCACGCTGCGGAAATCGGACGTTAGCAGAGAAGGGATGAGTCAATGCGGCCACGGCCTCATCTGGAAGGCATGCGGAGGGGGCATCAGGCCCAAAATGCACCTCGTCTCAGAGAAGCAAGTGGAGAAACGATTAGGGTGACGAGAAGAAGGAACCAAAACCATGCATCATGCGTCATGCACCATCCATGCAGCAAGTGTGGAAGAATTTCTGCATCTTCAAGAACATCCTTCTGTCCGATCATGGGCGCCTGGGAAGCAATTCTTTGGCTTCTTCGGAGTTTGAGATCTCATGCTTCTCCACCTGACCACAACTCTCTGCAAACTGCTGGTGGTAATAAGAGCTGTGTGGGCGTGCAACCCATGCGCGAACACAAGCAGGCCTGATTCGCAAGTTTAATGTACCCTGTGTTGAGAAAAAGGTCCAAAAACGGCAGACGGAGTCCCGGGTTGAAGGAAATCAGAATTTGTCCCATCCATACCTCGTTTCTGCGAATCTTCCACTTCTTTTCACGATGTTCTTTCAAAGCATGGCAGCGGCCCACACGTCGAAAGCCTCACTTGGTGAAAAAAACCTCACTTGGTGAAGCTTGACGAGTTTCCCTCAAACATCCATGATCTTAAATCTTTTCTTTCACATCCCTTGGAGAGAACCAAGGACCATCAAAGACCCCTAAACCTCAGGGCTCTCGCTTGATGCCGTGGTTCTTCCGCCGAAAGCGTGGTCTTATCGCCGTATCGCTGGTATTTCTGGGTGGCCGTCATTGGCCGTCCCTTTAAGTCGCATTCTGCATTTCTCTGTCTGTGTTCTTGCGCATTGTTTGTGATTGTTTTTGTTCGCTTCCCGGATACATCTTCCTGCTCCATCTCAACTCCGGTTTTGGACCAAGACCATTCCACCAACTGACCATCCATCCATCTCACGCTCCATCTCATGGTTTAAAACACCCCGACCGTTAGCCGAACAACGATCCCCACCTCTGCTTCCAGAACAGGAACCGTTACTTCCAGCAGGCCAGCAATTGGAAGGAGGTGGGCCTGGGAACGCCCGAATCGCCGAACGGTTTCGACGAGGACTGCGCCGAACGTCGTTTTCTCGTTGTGTCTAGCCCCAATGCGGCGCTTGTCGTTACCCCGTGTCGCAGGTGAAGAGGTCTCTGTTGGAGCGAATTGGGTGTTGCGATCTCTTCACCACGTGGAGACCCAAAGCAAGGGTGGGATGGATCCAAATCTCTCCTGAAATGTTGGGGATCAAAAAAACACAGAAAGAGGACAAGCCACACCAAGACAAAAGGAGAAAAAACGGAGCTTCAAGTGGCTTCGCTGATCCATGGCTTTGGGTCTTTAACCATCGTTAACCCTGACATGCCTGGGAGGACAGGACATGGGACAAGGTGGATGGCTATCATCTTGGTGCCAGGTCTATTTTTGTTGTGGGGGTAGTGCATGAAGCTACAACTAGTTAGTAGTTCGAGAGACATGTCATACAATTCCAATCATATCCATACATCTTGTTCTCAGGCGTCTTCTATTGAATGAACCGCACAATGAACAGAAACCACACTACATTACGTGTCTACATTATGTGTTCATCAAACACCTCTAGATTGGCCAGCATGTCACATGGAGAACAATCAGCACAAATTTGCTTGCCTCAACTGCTTCTTGCCACTGCCGATTTTGCTCGCGGGCATTCTCATTCTCCTCGACCAAAAGACTTCGGAAAACGTGGACATGTGTCAGAAAGCTCGCTAAAACAAGGCTCCACAAACTCCTAACTACCCCGCACTGGTACAGGAATAGAATCTTCGTGGTGGTGGTGGTGGTGGTGGTGGCGGTGGTGGATGTTGTGGCGCTGTGACAAGTGACAAGTCAGTGACAGTCAGCCATCCACCCATTCTCAATCGACCGATTCTCGGTAGCGCAGCGCAGCGCCAACTCGCTGAAAACTCAGCCAAAAAGAAAGGTCAACTGGGCTGTTTGGGACCTTCGTTTTTCTTTCAAAGCAAGGACACACGGTGAACGTGACGTGAACGTCGTTGTGGCTCCGTCGCCGGCGTACCGCTGGTTCCAGACACTCCGCGCGAACCCGCACCCGTTCCGGTCGAGACGGTGCAGCGGTGGTGCGGTGGTCCAACGGAGACGAACCGTTGGTTCATCAGCAGCTGAGCTGGAAACACGTATATAATGGGGTGGCCTGGTGACCCATCCCCATCATCATTGTCCCATCTTGCCATCATCCCCACCATCTCCTGCTCCAATTCAGCAGCAATTGGAACCTGGGGCACCTAAGTTTGCTCACTGACGACCTGTTTTTGCTGAAGGAAATCATGATCCCTTCCAGAGAAGCACAAACAAGACCTGCTTGTTGGGTGGTCCGTGCGTGTGAACGAATGAGATGTCTCAAGTGACAAAATGGCAAGACTCCAAAATGGATGGAATCATATTGTCAACTCCAGAATGTCTGGTTATTCTACACAAAGTGTCCACAGCAAACTGACAATCTCAGGGCATTCAAGAAACTCGGCTAAACAGCAGTGGTAGCATGGTCCTCTCAAGATTCTCAAGTTTGTATGTCTCAAAACGCAAATGATGGGGGCGCTTGTCTTCCACCATGTCTGCCTTCCACCGTGAGCGAAAATGTGTCTGAGTTCCACACTAATGAAACGAGGTCACGAAAAATGGCCTAGTGAGCATTCTGTTCACACAATTTCATGACGCCTAAGCCATGGAACATGAAACCCACCTGTCTCGTCATTAGACCATAGGCCAGGTTGGTGTTGCTGGTGTATCTGTACCTCCAATGTTTGGCCAAAGCGATGACAGATCAGTCGCGATCTTCGGGCGCACTGAAGGGCGTTGTCAAACACCTCACAGGTCGATTACGTCGATTCGACGACCTCCTTTCGACGCGTCGCGGGAGGCCCGACTCGACGTCGAGGCCCTTCGACGTCTCGATCGATTGGGCCTCCAAAAGCATGGGAAGGTGATTGGCCACCCCTTGCCTGCAAGACATGATGTTCGCGGCGAAGAAAGGTGCGGTGTGTGTTTTTTGGAGTTGTTTGCTTCCATCTGCGAAAGCTGCTGGGACGGGAATGGCAGGTTTGTGGAGACACAGGGGACGGAAACCTTATTGGACGATCCTGGGAAGTTGTGAAATGTGCAAACACAAAGTCGTTATATAATGTTATATATATTTCTCTGTATCTCGAATATTCTCGAGTTATGCCCACCGGACCAAAATCGACCAAACATTCTGTCCCACTCAACCAAAATCGACCAAACATTGTGCGTGTTGTGATTGTGTGTGCATTGTGTTGCCACAAGGTGTGTCATCGTGAATCCTGGTGTCGTAGTTTTCATCGTGCGTTGTCAAGTGTTATGTTTGATGGTGGCACTCAATGTGTCAATCTTTGTTGTCTGCTGTCATCGGGACCCAGCCACTGGCAGGACCCCGGACCGGGCCCTTTTCCCGGAGACGGGTGGATCCGTTTGTTGTCTGTTGTTGTGTGGCCAGGCATGCCACATGGTGACGACAGGGCCTTTTGGGGTGGGTTGCCTACGCTAAAACAGGTAGAAAAGTACATAGTTCCGCGCAAGAATCTGCCAATTCAGCAGCACGCTTCTATAGTTCTTCCTTCGGTTTGTCCACGCAGCACTCCTCGGAGTTGACCCTGTCCTCCTTTGGGTTTGACCGGGCCTGCTCCGCTTGAGCTGGACAGCTTTGGCACAGCGCTCGAAGAGGGAGAACCTTTGAGAAGCGAGACTTCAAAAGAACATCCTCGAATATCCTCTAGACCTTTGGGGGGATTGGAAGATCACTGGAGTTGATCAGGATAAGGAGATCCGATAGCAAATACGGTAATCTTTTACGGACGGTGTCTGGCAGAGTCAGATAAATAGTATATTATATATATATATATTAATATACACGTTAGATTGTTAGATAATCATATCATGAATCATGAAAATGTTAATGTATGTTATATGATATGTTCGATTGTCTATGTAATTATATATGTGACACATTACAGTATGTGTAGTAGAGGGATGTAGAGGGCTGTCATTTTGTTCGATTTGGGGATCACCAGAGTTGGGAATCCCAGATCGAGCATCTTGCTTGCATGACCTAGGACTACTTGGATACACTTGGATATACGTGGATGATCTTGGAATCAGAACCACCTCTTCAGTTCCTTCTCCAGACTTGCACATTAAAACCGATCCGAGCTCGGAGTTGTGTCATGTGTCCAAGTTCCTCGGAGTTGCTTGGGGCTCAAGCTTGCTCTCTGAGCTCGCAGCAATCGGGAAGACACTTCCATACAAAGCCCATCCGCAAAGGTGGAGACGTTTACCACAGTGGCAAAGCTCATCTGGGGCAGACTGAGTCACAAGGATGTTTGTTTTGTGTGGTTGATGTTCAGTCCCAATGAAAAGACCGAGTGGGGATGATGTACAAAATGTGTCTGAATTGGTAGATGGATGGCGATGGGGATCCAGGTTGACAGGCGGATCCAGGTTGCAGTCCTGCAAGAACGACAAATCAAGAACCCTCGTGTGCCTGCACAATGCTGTCATGCACAGTGCTAGCCTGACATCAGAAGCAACAAAACCAACTGCGCGGCTTTATAAAGCTTCATCCAGAATCATCCATAAATCCTGCGTTGCACTATGTTGACACTATATAGTAACACCCATCTATAGTACGCTCAACACCCAACCCCACATCCATGATCATCCACGTCTGTGCCTCTCCATCCTCTTTCTTCCCCCCTAACCTCTCGCATCAGCGCCTTGCTCTTGTTCAGGAACTCGCTCGCCTGGTCCGTCGACTCGGGCGCTTCGGAACCGCAAAACGCCCCGCGGCGACCGGCGACCGGCGGCCTGTGCTAACGCCGCCATCGCGACCAGGTCAGCCACGGAGCCCTGCGAACGTCGACCGACGGACGCGAGCGTCGTGGAGAACGACGCGAGCGTTCGGTCGGAGTGGCGCAGGGTCCAGCTCGGTCGCCCTGGGTCTGTTGTCGAACCTCGAAGTCTGGGATGCTTTCAGGCACATTTCCCTCATAGTCCTGAAAGAGGTGAATTCTGCAGTCCATGTCTGATTCCAACATATTCCAAAGCTATTCTGGGGGAGACTGCAGGACTGCAGGACTAGGATGAATGTTCAACTCCTCATCGAGCTCAGCACAAACTTCTCGGTACCTCACAATCTCGTGAAGATGACAAGTATGCAAGTCCCAGACGCTCCATGGGACTGCCATAGGACTGCCGATCAGGCCAGAGGTGGTGCGTTTGGGGGGTCAATTGATCGGCAGTCCTATGGCAGTCCCATGGAGCGTTTGGGAGTGCTTTCGTCCGAAAGGCAACATGCGTGGTTTCGTCCTACCGCCCGAGTCCGGCACGATGTGATGTTCAGGAGAATGGCTGCCTGATGAGAGAGCTGAGCGGGCGAGTGGCCCTACCAACCAGCTGGACTCCCGGTCCCAACCACTTCACCAACAAATGTGGATTCATTTTGCAGAAGCTTTCACTGCCGCCATGTGAGCATGGAAAGGATGAGGGTCGGATAATATGGGCTTCGTGACATAAACCTTGACTTGCAAGTTGTCTCTTGATCTTACTGAAGATCGTCTTTCGGCTAACCCACCTCATCTCTTCTCTTGAATACTGTCACTGGGTCACAAAAATGGCTGGAAAAAACCATGCAGCACACTGAATTCGGATGCAGTCAGGATGTTCAGGATGGACTGCCCCTTAACACCCCGAGATGCCTTTTTTCCACCTTTGATGACCACCTTCAGTACTCGCCTCTTGGGCTTTTGGGCCGCGGCCAATACGTCAGCTCTCAAAGTCATGGGGCGTTGTCATGGGCACCCCCGCTTCAATCAAGCTCAGCGTTGTCTCACACACGTGCTCTGGAGCCTGTGAGAGAGGTGGGCAGCCCCCCTTCAGCCATGTCCGCACGACTGGGAACCATAGAGGGGTCGGTGGTTTTGGTACCAGAAGGCCATCGATGCATTGAAAACCCTTCACCATGACGACAAAAGCAAGATCAAGGGGTACATCCTCCGGCAAAGTGTGAGACCAAAGCTCATAGGTGATGAATGGTGAGTCAACATCAATTGGGCAACTTTTAAGTGTGGGGGTGGGGATTAGAGTTAGGGTGTTCCCTCATGCACACTCATAAGATGCTCTGCACAGGGTCCCAAATCAATGAAACAATTGCAAAACAAACATAACAAGTTCTATAGATTCAAGATCGTCTCGCAGAAGTGTCAAAACCTGGGTTTTTCTCCACCGGCGGTGTTTGCCCACGGCGGTGCCGCCGCTATGCCTGGCTTGCCGCCAAGAGAACACCTTCTATGAGACCCACAATGTCCTCTGCCTCGAAGTGAACACCCAAAAGGCGCGATCGGCGCGCCGGGGCGATCGGTGGACCGCAAAAGCTTCGCTCGATCGGAAGACAAGTCTAAGGCTCACACGCATGCACCTGCGTGGGGCGCGGGCGCAGGAAAGCCATCAGAGCATCGGTTTGCTTAGGTTTGCTTTGCGAAAGGGGTAAAAAAAAAACGAGCTAAACAAGAGGCGCCTGCCACGAACTTTCGACAAGACGTGAGGTGAAAAACCTCAGCAGCTAGGCGTTTCCTAGGGTTCCTTGCTTGAGACCCTGCCTTTCTTATAAATGAGTAAAGTCCCTCCAGCAGAGTCCTACTAGAGGTTGACGTGTTGAAAAAGAATTCTTAGTCGTTCTGCACCTCTGCACCACTTTTTGGACTTCTCCCCATTCCTTCACCAAGCAATGGCAGGCTGAGCGACCAGGATCAGAAGCTCCGGCAAAAAGGGCGGCAGCCTCATGGAGCTCGGTAGGTAGCTCCCCTTCTCCTGCGTCACGGGTACGGCGAGCCGGCTGAGTCAGTACGGTGAGCTTCGACTCGAGGGTCTTGTTCGGAGGAAGCGAAGCCTCTGGTGCCAGGGGGGTCAATGTAGGCATATATGGCAGCCCCAGCCCGGGTAAGGCCAGGCCGGGCGCGCCAAGTCTTGGGATGAACCCCGATTTGATCCACCCGTTTACGGCCTATTTTCAAAACCAAACAAGTGACTGCGCGAAGAGCCGTCCTTGCTGACAGTTCCGAGTAGAGTGATGACTCCATCCACCATGAATTCCACCTACCGCGGCAGTACGGCAGCACGGCCCTAGACTGGCCTTCTGGTACGTCGACATCATGCCCCCTCAGATCCCCTCATCTGCTCAGTGAGGTGAACCAGTGCTGAAGGAAGACATCCTGCACTACCTTTCGCCTACCAAAAAGACGAGAAAAACGTCAATGTCGTGAGGTCATGGTGTTTCTCGTGATCCACGCGTTCCCGCGTTTGTGCGCCTCTCGAGCTGAGCTGATGTTGGACAAGATCTCTCGAAAGGCATGTTGGATTCGATCACCTGCCAAAGCCACCAACCGGAGGCAAACCGTCATCGGAGTTGTGTGGCTAAAGAACAACAGCGATGATCCCCAAGCAGGTTTTGGATGTGACTAGTGGTTTGGTAATAGTCTACATAAGATAGTTTAAGAATGCTGCTGACACAGTCCATGGTTTCAATCAAAATCTAGTGACTTCATATTAGTCCGTCCTCCTTTCTGGGGTCTTTGGTGCATGATTTGGGACACCCATGGTGTCAGCCGCAGTCCACTGCAGCTGCTACCAGCCTTCATGGCCCTCTTCGGGGATTGACTTTCGAGAAACTAGCAGTTCCTGACAAAGCTTGTCAGCACAGGCTGCGTCAGCGCAAGAGATTGGTGGATTCGGAACCGATGTCAAAACATTCTCTGAACCTGGTCCAGGTCATCAGCTCCCGGTCCTGTGGCTTTCGCGCGACCAAGCTGGATGAAATTGACAAGTCGCCTGACAGAATCAAGAGTGATCTCCTAGATTCTCCTAGCATATTATGTAGCATATTATTTAGCATATTATGTCTGGCAGCCGGGCTCGGCCTGCCTCGGGACTCGGTGGCATCGCGGACATCTTGCAGGAGCAGTCCAAGAGCCTTGCCATCCGGTCAAAAAATGATCAAGAAGGATTCCAAAGGGTACCTGGATTGAGTCACTGAGTATATAGATATATATATATATATGTTTTTTTTAATATATAAATATAAATGTCTATGTTATCATGGTTCGCGTTTAAGAAGTCTTTGAAGACCGAAAAGGACCTGTTTCGCCCCCTCCCAGAGGTCCCAACTGATCCTGTCGTCGTGTCGGGCCTGAAGGCAAACGTGTGCAAAAGCTTCCTGCTTGGCTCCAGCGAAGTATCCGCCATACGGTACGCCGAAGCCATGTGGGTCGTAGCCTGGGGGAGATACAGGAACGCAAAAAGGACGGAACGCAGCCCGTGCTGCTTGGCAGAACAGGGGGCCAGCTAGGGGCGGCGTGAGCTTGGGCGGCTTGAGCAAGCTCACGCCTTTTTTTTAGTTCTGAGGATGGGACCCAAAGATACTGAAAGTAAGGAAAAGAGCAGCTCAGCTCTGAATGGGACTGTCCTCAACCAGTCCGGACCGTCTCCGAAACCTCTCTCAGCAGCGACGGCAACAGACGGTGATCGTGTCCTGCTTGGATCTGCCAAATAGGCCAGCGGTCTCACGTCGAGAATCACCAGCCTTGCAAAACGAAGCCACCAAATAGGCCTTTTAAAGGCCTTAAAACAACAAAAATGAAGCATCCGAACATAGGTCAAAGAACAAAACCGGAGCAAAAAGTGTGTGATCGTTGTGTCTTGATCTGAATCTAACAATGAGATGTTCTGTAGAGCCAGTGCTCACAATTTTAGGAAGTCTGTATCAGTATATGTCCAGTGTGCTCCCTGCTTCTAGAATACTTAGTGACTTGTGTGTGTGTGTGTGTTGTATTGGAATAGGGAGACACAAAGAACTCAGAAACCCAGTGGGCCCGTCTCTTCGGGAGTCTCCCTCTATTCCAATACACTCCCATGTCATTCCATGTCTATTCATGTTCATGTGAGCTTGCTCAGGAGTGGGTGTGTATTAAATCAAAGAATCAAGGAGATTCCCAGTTCCATGCCTTTGAAGAAGGAATATAGACCGGTCTACCGAGGTCTCCCAGTTTCATAGACCTCCATGTCCTTTGTCACATGTCGCTCCTGGACAGTCGGACATCAATGCTGGGCGCATCTTCTTCTCCAGTCTCCTAAGGAGCACGTGACGACTGGCAAAACGTGCACGTAACGACAGATTGAATCATAAGATCATTTATCTCCCTGTAGGCTTGTAGGGTAAGAACTATTCCCGTTCATCTGCACGAAGCGACAGATTGAGGTTGGAAACCTTGCTCGGCATTCGGAGCATCCAACGCAACGACCGGCTGGGTGGGGGTTCGACAAGCCAAGCGAAGTCAGGATCTATGAGGATGCTTTTTGAGTGTGTATTGACCTAAAGGGACCTTATTATATTTAAAAAACATATATATATATATAAGTAGAAACGAAAGGATAACATAACGAAAACCTATTCGTTGGGGTCTCCCTCATGTAGACAGTTGACAATTGATGAAAAAAACAAAAGCTTTCTTTCGAGGGCCTAAAAGCATCGGGAAGATTAACCAACAGTCTACCGTCTACATGATATAAATATCTACACATCTATGACAATGAATTTGGTTCAACACCCAAACACTCCATGTATTGAAATATCTAATTACATTGACCTCTGACAACCACCCCGTAAGGCTGCCATACAAACCTATGGGCCACGTTGGAGTGGGACGTGGGACATGCGTCGTCCGTATGCAGCGCCCGTCTCCTGAAGTATCGGCGCCGTCGGTGCTCCACCCGAGAGTAAGGTCACCAGCAGTTGCAGCACCACAACCCTGACCGAAGACACACGTTCACACGTCGCTTTGGGTACTGACTACGCGTTCACATAGGTACAAATACGGTTTCACATAGGTGTGTCACACACTGAAAGCAAAGCAACATTTACCCAATCGATACTTTTCGTAGTGTGTTCGTTCTTGAGACACCGTACCGTACCGAGCATCTGGAAGATCTTGAAGAGCCAAATGCGCGGGCATATTACCAAGATGTAGAAATTTCACCGACATGAAATGTTCACATGGAAACCTCTATATAGATACTTTGTACTATTTTGGGAAACCCCTTTTTGCATCTTGTTGCATTCTGATTGGTTTTCATGTGTTCATTCATTCCCTACCGCATGACACGTCCCGGCCTGTTCTCCTGCAGGTCGTTCTTTGGTTGATGAGACCCTTCAGGTCCAACTCCTTCCTGCCTGTTTCGGTATGGCACGGCGAAGAAAAACAGCGATGTGGCCGGCGTGGTGCAGGTCCGCCGTAGACGCCGCGACGTCGGGGGCCGCACCAAATCAAGGCCGGCACCACTGGGGAGGCCGAGTCCGGCTCCTTGTCCTGCAGTCTGGGACTGACGGACTGTGGGATTCGCCACACCACCAGTGCGCCTCCACATCTGACCCATCCACCGTAAAGCCGTCGTGGAACCTGTCACGCAGGTCACAGATGGTCATAGATGGTCACAGACCGAGTGAAACATGGCGATGGGTCAACAACTGGGAGGCCTTGGTGGACCTACTGGGAGGCCCTTGGTCACCCACATCAGAGGCGTGTTCACCACATGGTCCTCGTGGCACGCCGTTTTCACCAATCCCACAACACAGGAGCAAACCCCACATCATCCCAATGGCACATCTGAGCCAAATCTTTGCCGGAAGTGTGCGAAGTCCACAACTAAAACTATGGTTTGTTTGCACTTTGCCTTCTTTGGCACGTGTGTTTTCCTATCTTTCCAAGACTGTAAAGGGCATATTTCCGCTTGGCACGCCTGCGACTATGTGAGCATCAGCGCTTTAAAACATGAACTCTGCAAATCACCTCTTGCTTGGGGGGGCCCTTGTAGATTGAGGGAGTATTTGCTTACACATATGACAGTTGTGACAACACCGATCTTGCAAAACCCAAATTTGCAAGAACCTTTGGAGATCCTGTGGGTTGCGAAAACATATTCACCAAGTCGGGTTTCACCTACAAGTGTGGGTTGCCTAGAAACATCCAGAAACAAGATCGAAACCATTGCTATTCCATAGTTTACCCCAATGGAACACTGATCTCATAGAAGTTGCAGTATGGACGCATGAAAGCTAGAGTGCCACGCAGATCTGGGATCAATAAGATGGAAAAGTATGGAGAAGTATGTTGTTGATTTCTTCTGATTTGCACTGTTTCGGCTCGATATGAGATGTTGAGCGCGATAGGGGTAAACACAGGTACCCAGTACAGAGGTCAAGCTCCACGGTGGACCAAGGCTCCAGGTTTTGAACCATCCATGGTGAAACACCATGCGCACAGGAGTTTCGACCGGTCCATCGCCAAAAAAAAAAAGCTGAAGTGGTCAGAAGAATTGTCCCTCTCTCGGATGTGCGAGAAAAACTCGCAAATAATGCATTTTCACGCTGTGAAGCAAGGATTGAGGCAAAGGACAGCTGAAGTCAAAACCCTGTTACAAAGACAACACCCTGCAGAGAATGAGACTATAGTTCGTAGTCTGTTTCAGAATGGGATAGAATAGAATGGGGTTGGTGTCATTTGGCTTCACCCACTCGTGTCAGGACACTGGCAATACGGCTCAGACACACGCACTCAAGATAAAGTACATACGGTCATACGGTCTGAATGCCACTTGCCCCAACGCCTAGGTGAAAAAAAGTTCCTGGTTATTACCAGTGCAAGGGAGTCGAACCATGGAAAAACAGCTCCAAGTCCTATAGGAGCATCATCAAAGTTCAAGAGTCAAAGCTCCAAAAGTTTCCAAAAGCTCTAATTCCACAACGGCGCAAGATCGAGCGGAGAATGCCTAATGGGCCTAATGCATGTCTGTAGACCGGAATCATCCTGCGACAGCCTGAAGACCTCTACGATTGGAGTGTGGCTAAAACATTCACAACTCAGGTGCAGGTACACCGAGTTGATCAGACTCGGTATTCCATGATTGTGGTAGCTTCGTTTAAACTTTGGTCTCACAATCATGCTGTACTTCCTTGCATTACATTTTTTACTAGTAAATCAAATCGAAAAGCCCTCTGATTCCAAGGGTTACACACACAGAGGAATCACAGGACCAAATCTCAGCCGGCGATACAAAGCCCGCATGACTGCATCAGCGATCCTTTCGCCCAGGGGCTTGTGTCCAAGTTCTGCCTAAGTGTCCGTGCTTCCAAAGACGATTCTCATGCAAGGCAGGTAGATGTTGACGCAAAGAGGCAAAACCAACGTAACCAATCCTTTGAATGGGAAACCTACGTAGTGCATCGTAGTGCTGCATAAACACCAAGAAGATGCAGGAAATGTGGCCTGAGCATGTCTGCTGTGACCTCAGAGCCTGGCTTGCCATAATCGATCCATGAAGGACACGTTGGCAGCTTCAGCGACCTGTCATTCATGGCTGCGATACGACCGACTGGGTCTCGTGGTGCGACCGTAGCCGCGGCCGGGGTGGCGGACACGGGCGTAGCTCGCGCCGGGTTTGACCCAGGGAGATGCCGAGATCGGCCGGGACGTCTGGGTTTCCCCACTCTATCTCCAGAGGGGGATCCTGGCGACCGAGGAGACGAGTCAGTGCATCATCCGGCGACCAAACGGACAGACCGAGGTCTGATGTCGACCGAGCTCCTCGTGATGTTGCTGGAGGAAGTGCAGCCAGGAGGTAGGAGAGAATCTTGGTGGCATGCCCACTTCTCTTTCTTCCTTTGGTATCTTGTGTTTCTCACTCTAAGGCTACCCATCGGACCCATCGTGGGTCCCGGTTGGACTAAACAAGACAAAAAGAAGTCCAACGACCTCCCAGATCTACCCAGTGGGCAAGACTGCCATCCCTTAGTCAAACTACACCAAGCCGAACCCCGGCTTCGCTCAGGGGGATGGCGCTTCGACTGTGTCTCGCCATATCTCAGGTGCGCGCGACCATCGCATTGGCCAGCACCGTCTCAGCGGTGGCGTCGAAGTCCTGGCCCCGACCGCAGCTGGGCCGCGGTCGTGCGGGGAACAGATATAGAGGGGTCGAATGCCCGGTACCACATACCTATTTCTTCTTCATGACCGGGGCTGTCTATGGATCAATCAACCAACTGGTAAAAGGCGGTGTCGTTGAACCAGACGGCTTCGCCCAAAAGAAAGACCAGACATGACAGGAAAGGAAAGATACTCCGTGATCACCGAACAATCAGAGAGGTCATGCCCCTTTAGAAGTGAATCCAGGAAGCCAACACATGAATAGACTCACTAGACTGACTGTGAACTATAGATGAAATATATAACACCCTCCCTCCACTTCTACAGCAGTTCTACAACCGAAAAGAAAACCCACGACTCCACGACGCTCATCTCTCGCTGTTGGAACCGCACCTGGAACCGGAACCGGCGACGAAGGCACCTTCTTCGCGAGCTGGGTCTCCATGGCATCGGTGCAAAAGGCAATGAGGCCAAAGCAGTTCTCAGGACCTCAAGGCTCGCCGAGTCATCCCCAGTGGGGAAGGGAGATAGAGGGGAGGGGGCGCTCCCCACCAGCCTGACTTCAGGTTCTACTAAGTGTCCATCAGAACATCCATGATGTAGACTGTTGATTCATAAAAAAAAAACCATATTGAAGGGGTTCTAGACATGGTTTTACAATGCATGTCTGGGGAGTCTGGCTATCAATCCAGAGTCTACGACCCACCAAGGACCTTCGCACGACCGAGACAGATGTGGGCCACCCAAGACACGAAGAGCCTCCGTCACTTGGGGACATATATGGATATATCTTGGAGGAAACGGCTTCAGGGACTCCTCCGACCTTTTATTTATATCTCAACCAATGCAAAGTGATCTTTCTGGGAATCCAACATCTGGACAGGCAAGAAACTAGTGCCTCTCTCCTGAAAATGCCAGCAACGCTCGTCTGAAGCCTGTAAACAACTGCCAAAGACAGATCATAGTCAGTGAAAATGGCTCGGTCATCTGCAAAAACATGAAGAGGTTCTTCTTGGGACTTTGGAACGTTCAATACCACCAACTTTTCTCCATCCATCTTCCAGAGGTCTGAGGGAAATGCTCCGTGTGCCCAAAAGAATTATGTCACATCACGTCGGTCCTTGGCTGCTCCTCCAGTTCCTCCTGGAACACTGTCGGTCGGTGTCGGTCGTGTTTTGGATGTTTTGGATCAATGAGATGGTGACAATGGCAGACCATGGTGACAATGCTCCCCAAGATTCAAGATCTATCTTTTCATTCACCACAGATCTATCTTGAGACCAAGATGAAGATCTGAGCCAAGGCCAACCTGGTGAATCCAAAGGTATCGCTCAGAACACCTCGAAACCATGTCGAAAGCGGGAGTTTCTGTCCCAAACACGTCGTTCAGGCCATCGACGGGCGGGACGGGCACCCGGGCACCCGGACACCATCGACGGTTGGTGCCGTGTCCACCGGGTATCCCGAGATGCGACGCTTTGAAGACCTTGCTTGGGTGGGTCATCCAATGTGTGGACGTCATTCACCCCCCTTGAGGGATGGCGCCAGACCTGAAATGGCCTGAAGCTGTTTTGGAGCGTGAAATACTTCATCCAGGTCTCAAAAAGAACGTGCAAAGCACAAGGATGCCCAAAAAAAAAGGAAAACACCTCCTCCGCTGTTCTTCGCTCCCGGGTCCCAAACCCCCCTTCTTCTTGGGCGTTTTCTGGCCTCGAGATTCTCGAGGTTCACCAGCTGCTCCCAAAGCTCGGGGGTCACTCCGGCCCCTCGGGGGGCCAACTGGATTGGTTCCACGCACCATCTACCAATCTACGAAGGGAGTCATTTCTGCGACGAGGCTGGCAAGGCCCAAAGCTCGGGGTATGTCTAGGGGTATGTCATGCGATGTCATGCGTCAACCGATGTCCGCACGAATCCGGGATTTTAGGGCCGATGCCCGGTGCCACATATATACCTATTTGTTGTTCATGACCGGGGGAGTCCCCTCTATTGATCAACCAAGCAATGGATAAAAAGTTGGATAAAAGGCCATCTATGGTGCAGCTTTTGTTGTGTGACGTTCTTTCTTGTCCCTCTGCTTTCCCCGGCTCTTGGACCTGTGTGGAAATTCCTGCAAGTATTAAGCTGGCGACCCAGCAGCTGGGAAGCAAGCTCCTTGAGCAAACAACACGGTCAAATATGTATGAGGATCATACCAAATGTTCAACGACTTTCAGCGTGCACTGGCACACATCAGTCTCGAACGGTCGCCCTCTCCCATGAGGCTCAACCCAATGAAGTCATGTCGGGGGAGTTCGCCTGGACGTCATCTCAATGGTGTCTTCATGCCCTTACCCTGGAAGTCTAAGACCGTTTCAGAAACCGTCTCTCACGGAAAGACTATTCCTACAATAGTCTTTTGAAGTCTAGGGCTTACCAAAAGCTTTGCCGGAAGACATCTCAGACACTGGTCTCAGAGCCAAACGCTCTCTCCACAGTCTGTGAGTCACCCGGAGCCCCGAACTCGTAGCGACGCACCATGTCTGTTCATCCACTGCTGCTGGTCTCTCCGACACCACGGGAGCCCGACCGCACCGCACGACCGCAAGCGTCCTTGACGACATCACCGGGCGAACCTTTGCCGCCAATGAAGCCAAAGATCCTCCTGCCGGCGCAGGAGGATCAACCAGAGGGCCGGTATGGTCGAAGGGTCGGTGATCCTTGGGTTTAACTCCAAAGAATCTCAAAAGGGTTGTATCTGTCATGTATCTTCAAAGATAATGAATGATTTGATCGCCTTCCAAACGTTGCATCTTCCAAAATCTGAGGAAAAAAGGAAGTCTTGCAGGGCTGGGCGCACACATGCACACATGCACACAGCACGTTCGAGTGTCTACGGATGTCTACAGTCCGAAGCTCCAGTTCGATGCATTCACCGTCTCCCCACCTCATCCTATGCAGCTCATGTGGGCTCCGCAAGTCGAAAAACGACCAGCGTTCGCTGTGGCTGTGACGGTGGAAAGCCGCACTGTTGCTGCCTTTGCTTTCTGGTTCCGGTATGGAAATCTATTGAGGTCGATGCTTGTTGATGTTCTGATTTTGGCATGTTTGGGTTTGCTGACTCATCCTTATTGCTTGGCCCGCAAAAAGCTCGTTTTTAGGACATGGCAAGCATTGACAAGCTGCACGGGTGTGCATTTGCCTCTGCCACATGAGGAACCCAAATTCTCTTTGACTGGCGCTTGAGAAATTTGGCTGCATTTGAACAAATTCCAGGGTTCTCAAGCAGCTGCAAAAGACATCTCCGAGACATTCACAAATTCTTCTGGCAGTCGCATTTGTTGATGTAGTACAAGGGCAGCCTGAACGATTCGCATCCACGATCTCACTGTTGCTCGAGGTTTTGCTGACACGCACGTCCAGAATCTGGCGGCTGAACTCTGAGCGTTCATGAGGATTGATGTCTTGCATCAAAGCGTTGCGGTTGCATTTGGACTCAGAGAGGCAGCAGCTGTAGCAGCAGTTGTCAGATTGACTACCTGGCATAGGAAACACACAATATCATGCCGGAACGAGGGTGTGCGAGCACACCACCATGCTGCGTGGCTCAAAAGTTGTTGACTCAAAAGTGAGTCGGTGTTGTAAATTATACGTATCTTGGGCTCACCAACCCCCAGATCACCCTCAACTGCAGAGCTGTTGTTATGGGAACTGCAAATTTCAGGCCATGCTGCGTTGCCTCCTCCAGAGCTACTGTCTTCGGCCAAGATGGCAGCAAGAACCAGCCTGGACCGCTCACATCAAAATAAACATCAAAGAATTCATCGATGTCACGTGTTTCGCTCGATGTGGCTCCCGGAATCTACACTCTGAGACAGGGACATACACAGGCTTGAAGGAGCGGGAGCACCTTGAGGCAAAGGCGTTTTGTGGGGGATTAGGGGAGTTGGTGTTGCTTTAATGCTGGCCTTGATACACATCTGATGCATATCTGTCACACATTCTTGTCCATGAGCAGGCTGCCTCAAAGTGGGCTAGCTTTCCCAGTTGACTGAAACATCCTCAAACCAGCGCCGAAGAAGAGTGCAGGTCGCTTCACCCCCTGTCACCAGCGCCGGGCTCGCTCTTCAGAGTACGTACCAACCGGGGTCGGGGCAGCCGGGCAAGCCGTCGCAGGGCCTGCAGCCGTGGTGGACTGCAGGACTTCGGCAGTGTGAAGGGGTGGCCGTGGCACAGCCCGTCCTGCCAAAGCGCAACAGCACAGCTCCCAGTAAGGCCCAACGTCAGCAATCTGTAGATGAAACCTGCCGGTTGCAGTGTGCCCTTAGGCAAATGAGCCAGAAGATCAAAGTCATCTATACAAGCGGCGGCAAACTCAAATACACGATGGGGGGGGCCCTATCTCGAAAATAGTAGAAGGTCATGTCCTCTTTCAGACTACTTTATTACTCTATATATATATAATACTTAGAAGTTCTTAGAAGTCCAAAGACTATATTTTGACCAACCGATGTAAAGGATATTCATTTTCGGGTCACCTAAAGACCATTCTGTTTATAGTCTTTGACTCCCAGGGCTGGATATATGTTCATCAAAGACTTTACAAAACTATATATTTAGTGTGGGCCCTATCTCGTTCACCAGCGAATGAATACTAATGTTGGACAAATAGAGATAAATAGAGCATCCCGTAGACTACTTTAGCCAAGACCAAACAAAAGTGCTCGCTCGGACTCAAATCCTCTGGAGGGGTCTGGGGTCGAACCAATCGGGCTGTGAAGAGCATCTGGGTGAATGCATTTCTGGTCGCAATCTGTGCAGATGTGGAGCAAATTCAACCTCTCAGATCGCATTCGGCCGAAAGCATTCTTCGGCCTGATGGTGTTGCTCCATGGCCGAGCAGCAAACCTAGCCCAACATGAAGAGACAAATAGAGGAACTTGTACCTGCCGAGCGGTGATTCAGTTTTGCAGTTGGCACCAGTGCCGTTTACACCATGTGTGTGTGTGTGTTCTGATTTGTGCATGCGATCAAGCCAGCCAGCACCACCCCAAGAGAGCAAAGAGATCGAGAGTGGGCGTATTGACCTGCTCTGATCTCAAATGGGTGGGATCGTCCCAACTCCAAGTGCTAGTGAAGAACTCCAATTCTCCAAGCGTGGCAGGCCCACAGCACCAGACATGAAGAGTGCTCCTTTCATCAGAGCCAGCTCCAGAATGAGCACCACCTTGATCTCCAAGCACCGGAATGATGAAAACCATCGGTCACCACCCACATCATAGCACAGCGGACGTAGAAAACCATGCTCTTCCCATGCCGATAGCATGACCAGTGCCCTGCACTGGTTGTCGACTTCCCCACTGTTCTACCTGATTCCTCCGACCTTCGACCTATATTCCAGGATGACGACTTACAACAACCCAACCTTTGACTCAAGGTCCTAGACAACCTTGTCAAAACACCCAATCTGTGACTGTGAGGTTTCAGGACCTGGCCAATGTTGAGCTGATGGTTGCAGAAAGGACTTCCGGAGAGAAGTCTTCCTGGCTCGACGCCGCCGGTCAGTGCCGCGTACGCGAGCTGTCGGTGCTTACGACGCACACAGGGGGCGAACCCATCCTCGACCCGGAGAACCGGCCTGGACCCCGCGAACCATTCCAAAGAGAACCACCTGATTTGAGCAAAAACAGACGGTGTGAGGAAGGTTTGGGAGGAGGAAGGGGAAGGGGATTCCATGATGCTTCCAAGTGTCACTGATTTGGTGGAAAATCAGGTGGACCACGCCCCAATATGGATATGTGTTATATATGTATATATATTATATATACATGTGTCACAGCACTGATTTGGTCGCGATTTCGTGAGATGCTAACAAGATGAGGCCCGAGGCAACACATGACGCGACGCATGGCACGACATCAACATGACATTCCTGCGAATTTCACCATCTAAGTCTACCCCCCAAACAGACCGTTCGCATCAGTTCACCCGTGGAATGGAAACAATTTGGAACGGGGAAGGCCAATTGTCTGGGGCAGCGTATAGCGCAGCTTTCCTCTACCAGGTGAAGCTACTTGAGCTTGCTCAACTGACTGAGTGGATAGTGGTGACTCAGGACTGAGGTATGGGCATATGTCACGAAGCCCATTGTGGGTATGTACAAATCTGGCTCCTGGATTGCTTCAGATTGAAAAGTTCTTCGAGCTGAACTTGGCCGTTGCTCATGGACTTCAGACATACAGCAATATGCACTTGCTCGTGTTTCTCTGTCATCTGCATTTGCTCCTCAATATCAACTTCCAGGCCATCAATGACTCTCACTGTCCAGTCCTGGCGGCGTTCGGTGTTGGCGTTCCGGACACCTCTCGGTCCGGTGTGTCCCCACGACAGACCGACGTCGTGATCGACACGACCCACTCGGTCCGGCGAGTCGGACCACCGAACACCTCAATGGTATTGGGGTATCCACTGGAAATGAGAGTCACAGAACCAATAGAGAGCAGGCATGAGCAGGCCATATCAATCATGGTTGATCTTGGATGATCCTGCATTCCCCAACAGCACGCCCCGCCTTGTCTCCACCCAACTCGCCGTCGGAGGACTTCTTCTTTGTACTGCGGGGGTGACAGGAAGGATCACTCATGGCCTGGGTCAAGACCTCACCATACCTCACCCTACAAACCGGGGGAGGTTGACATCCCGAGTTCTAGAGGTGCCTCGGTTCCGGATACATCGCAGGTCAACCAGGAGTCCGGGGTGCCATGACCCACAGCTAGATATTAACATTGAGTCCTGCGAGGTGGTCCGACGTCCAGGGACTCTGATCTCGGCGACTCGGATTTGCACGTCTTTGTCACGGCCCTTTTTCGTCCTCCACATCTCCGCTCCGCCCAGACCGGCCAGACGTCGTAGACAACCGGGTCCGGTGGACCCAGTTTCAACGAACATGTCTCAGCGAGAGCTCTGCGAGCGGTGAGACGGAGACATGTCTCTGCGCGCGTCGCATGCGTCGCGATTTCATGAAGCAAGCGGCTTGCCACCTGAGAGCAGGGATGACTCGAGTCACGGCGTTTGGATCATCAGTCCAACCTCCATTGACAGCTTCATTCACCTGGCAGATTCGCAGAAATCCAGGTGCTGAAGTTGTATGGTGGAGGTACCAAAAACAAAAGAACATAAAAGAACAACATCCTCATGTCTTGACCATGTCGACTGAGACTCTCAGTGCCTCCGCACTTGGGTTCTTTCCTGTCACAGTGAGCGATGCGCTCGGTGACTTCGGATGGTGAGCGATTCCGTTCAGGCACCAGCAGGTGACGATCCATCCATTGGATATATTGGATTCTGAGCAATCCATCATAATCCATCCATCTCCCCACTGATTTGACGCTGATTTGTTGAAGCGAAAGCAACCGGCAGCGAGCCAGCCTGATCGCCAGCAGCCACAGCATTTGCCTGCTTTTTTGATCTTTTTGGGGGGCCAAGCCAAGTCGAGATGAGCTCTCGATCTTTCTTTCCAAAAAAGGATGAGCTCTCCATCGATGTCTGTCTTCCAACAACGCGATCGGTGAGCCCTCAAGGCATCGGACAGGCAAGGCAGCTGGCCCACACTGCAAGTAGCCCAGCAAAGATCAAAGCCTCGGAACATCGCTGGTGTCGCAGTCCGGTCCCCTTCGCCGTGCCGCTCGCCGAGCTGAGGCTCCGAGCCAGGGAAATGGAGGTGGCCGCCTGGATTCGGAGGTGGCTGTGGGTCCGAAACTCCTCGAGGTTCGGTGGGGTTTCCGGTCAACCGGATCCATCGCGGGTACCGGGTCAACCGGTCCGTTTGGCGGTCAAGAGCGATGGATCGATTCTGGCGCAAGCCATTCTTCAGCCGGTCCGTGCTGGTTGATTCCGGCAAACTGGCTGAGCCATACGGAAATTGCATGCACCGAGTTTTCACTGTTTTGCTACCTAGCCCAACGATGTGGGCCGAAGAGCACTAGCAGTGAAGGCTTAAAAAGGAACATGATACGGCCCGAGTCTCTGCTGTCATGGGCGAGGAATGGGGGAAAGGACCTGCAGTGATGGGAGGAATCCATCGACCAAGAAAAAGGAAGTCTAGAGAAAGGAAAGGCCCAAGCCTTTTCGAGATTCTTCTTCACACACCTCAACGATGGTCAATGGTCCAGATTAGTTATATTATATACCGTATAGATATATAACCGTGCACACCAGTGATCCAGCTGCATGGGATGTCAACAAACAAGAGCTGGCACTCCCCCATAGACCCACCCTTGCCTCTTCTGCATGTTGTCTCACATGTTGAAGGTGTAAGCACCATTGCCTTATCAAAAGTATTCAAAAGTATTCAAAGGTGATGTGCGGATCAGTCCACTCGACTCTGCTTTGGTCAAATCCAGGGTCCATACACTGCCAGACCAATTGAAGAGCAAAGCCAAAGCAAGGGCCTTTTCAAAGCGCTGTTTCAAGCTCCGAAGCACAAGAAGCTTGAGTGTGAAGTTTTAACAGGCGTGGTTTTTCACGCTAACATGAGCCATCAGCTATGTTTTAGGCTCCAACACATGTCAAAACGACTTATTTGTCCTTTGTTTCCCGTTGACTGCTCATATATGGCTCCCCCCGACACCGCAGATGCGGAACTGGGACTCGGTCGCAAAGGCCCCACGGCTGCCAGCAACGGCAAAGGACGTGGCAACCACGAAGAACTGAGAGGGGTTGATGTGTGTTGCCACGTGGAGTCGTGGAGGGTGTCACATCCTCTCCACGAAGGCTCGTGCGTTGCAACACAGCGTTTCAAGACTTCAGAAGACTCGCAACAAAAAGTGGTTCACCAAAGAGATTCCAAATGTTAATGAGTTGTTGCTAGCTTCTGTGCTTCTCAAAAGTGCGGACCGTAGGCCTTCATTCACGATGTCTGTGAAGCCGCGGAAGCGACTGAGGTCAGTACCAGGGTCGCTTCATGGAGTTCATCTCCGAGATACGGAACAAGTCTTGAGTTGATCACCTCAAGATCTTCGACAAGTCTCCACTGCCGTAACTGGTGCTTGAAAAGCGTAGCAATTGGAAGGACGTTGGAAGGACATGAGACATAGTAGAAGAGGCCGTCTTCCCCTGCCCCCCCCCCACGGGTCTTTGTTTCATCGAACGTATCCTTTTGGTCCCTGGAAAGGTCGCAACCGGGGCTCGACATGGCTCTATTTCCATGGCTCACACCAGTCCCTGGATCCATCGTTTCGTAGGCCTTTGTTTCAAAAGCAAACCGAGGAAACGCGACACTGTAGTAAGCGTCTGGCCGACGCACGCAGCGTGAGTCTCTGGACCTCAACAGCGTGAGTCTGACCAACATCTAAAGGCCTCTCCCACAAGACACCCCATTCCAAGCACCACGCGTAGTAATCTCCAAGAAGATACACTATGGTACCTCTCACCAGCGGTAGGAAGGGCCCCTTCGTGCCTTCGTGCGCTGGTGCCCCGACCCGACCGACCGACCTCGCGCTGACCGAAGCCACATCGCCCCCTCGGGCACATGCTAGGACTTGCATCCGATTAGCCAACCGAGCCACTTCGCCTTCCTGAGGGCCGGTCGGAAGCGTTGCGAAGCACGCACGGCACGGAGGAAACCGAGAGGAAGATGCTGCAGGTGGGGTCCCTCTTCATCAACTGTTGATGCTTGGGCATCAGTCTTCCCACCCTAGACAGGACACGTCGTTTCCTTGGCTCACCAGCAAAACCACCATGGACCACATTGACCGAAACAAACTTCAGGTCCCCGGCTGCAGATGTTAGAAAGGCAAAATCCGCCTCAGCTTGGCCAGTGAAGCTGAAAAGCTGAATTGTTCAACAAAGAGGCTGTCTTGAAGGCCCAGCCTCTCCCAAATCCTTCACCATGGCAGCAATCTACAAAACAGTTTTGGATCGTGTGGGGGCAAGATGCTGAACTCGCAAGTCTAAATAATGTCTTTCTTTACTACAAACCTGCATACCTTGGCTGTGCTTGGGTCCAGTGGGGCAGCACGGAAGAAGGACGCCTAGTAACTTGGTAGAGGTTTTCGGCATGCAACCATCTGTGGTCTGTATACTCCTGTGCTGATTCTTCAGGAAAGCTTCCTTTGATTTCAGCCAATGCTGCGGCCAAGGCTGCGTGATTTTTTCACCCCATCAACGTTCGAGGAAGATTCGAGAGCACGGCGCGCATGGGCTCTTTGATCCCTGAGCCAAGTCCTTGAACTCACGGCATTTGGGCTACAGTTTCATCATGATCAACAAGTTCTGTTGGAAGAATCAAAGTTTGGCTCCAAGAACTCTAGAACATCCAAAAATATATTGTTTGGATACACGGATACACCCAACAATAGCTATATAGAATAAAACCACACCTTTCATGTCAGAATGGCTATACCTGTGAGGGACTGGCAAAAAAGAAGGGGCACCTATGGAATGGAATGAGCTGCCACAAGATCTTGCGCAGGACATAGCCATGGTGCACCTCAAGGACTTCACTTCCACTCCTCACTCCGACTGACGAGCACACCACATGGGCCAACGTGGATGGCATGGTCCCAAGTTCGGAGGACGACCTTCCTTTACGAAGCGCGCACGGAACCGTGCGGCGCCGGAAGGTGCCATCTGGTGCCTTTCTACGGGTTCCCCACGAAACCGGGCCGCCCGGGCATTGAAGTATCGCCGTGTTGTTTGTACAAATTGAGGCCAAAGGCTCATAGAACCTGGCGTTTTGGGCGCCCAGAAACTGTGGCGTGTGTTCTTTTTTCTTTGCGTTGTTTTCTCGTGAAACATCAACAGTTTGTCCCTTGTTGGATGGTGTCAGTGCTGTGGAAACTTCATCGGTGCCTGAAAAACAAGCGTTTTGGTTGATGCGGTGTTTTCACACACAGGTAGCTGATCAAGACAGGCAGGCGCAAACTGGATGTCAGTTCTCGGGCAAACTGATTCATCATGGCGCTCGTGACAGCATCGGAGATATTTTGGCCCTGGCCGATGCTTTCACGTCGGACGTCCGATCTTCCACGTCCGTCCGATCTTCCGGACCGCCGCGACAGAGGAGCCGCCAACAACGGAGGTTCGAATTCCCGATGGCCCGATGTGTGTCTTTAAAAAAGAGAGTCATGTAACATCAAGCACCCGGAGCCAAGCTTTAAAATGAACAAAAGCAGTAACAAGTGCCACGCTACTAGTAACAAGTGCCACGCTACTAGTAACAGGTGCCTTACTACTAGTAACAAGAAGCTAGTAACAAGAAGCTCGGATCCCGGCAGATCCCGGCAGATCCGGCGGTCGCTCCGTGTCTGCTCCAGACCTGCGCCTCCGGAGCTCCAGAAGGCGCGGTACTGGCGCGCCCTGCAACGCCCCTGGCTCCGCCAGTCCCCACATCCTGATTCTCAGCGCTGTATTTCGAGATCCAGGGACCACGGGGAAAAAAAGGGCCAAGGACTTTTGGGCCCAAGGACGCCAGAAGTGGAGAATCTGAGATACTGTTTCGTGATTATCCCCGTTGATTGTTTATAGGGGCGTCGATTCTTCATGTTATAGGATCTTGACTTTGTAGGGTTACGGTCTTGGGGATCATTTGATAGTGACACGTAGTGACATTGAGTTCTTCAGATTCATTGCTAGAATCTTGAATGCGAAGCTGCCGCGAAACACAAGAGGACATCTGGAACGGTAACAAGGATGTTGGCAGTTTATATGACTCAATCAACTAAATCATACTAAATCACAAAACGACCATCAGCAGTTTCAAAGAAAATGGATCAAACCGGCAGGAGAATCCATGGCACCATGGTGCCTAATGTGGAGATACGTGTGGCAGGACATACAAACGGAGATACAGAAATGATCATACATGGGGATGGTCAGGGAAGGGTCGGGTCAAACCCTGGTAGGTCTGGTTGGTCTCATCACGTCCGACCAGGTCCGACCGAACAAAAGTTGGTAGATCAACCGGTCAAATGACCCTGGTGCCATGACCCTTCCCCACAGCCAGTTCATCGTGTTACTAGTAGTTTCTTGTTACTAGTAGTGATGCACTTGTTACTGTACTAGTAGCGATGCACTTGTTAAGAGTAGTCTCTTGTTACTAGTAGTAATGCACTTGTTACTAGTAGCGATGCACTTGTTACTAGTAGTGTCTTGTTACTAGTAGTAATGCACTTGTTACTAGTAGCGATGCACTTG